CCAGGATGATGTGTGTGACTGTGGTCGTGCTGAGGGGCGGCGGGGCGATGGCTATGCTCGGGCTCGGGGTGGGAGATGGCCACGATCTTTGTTGTTCTTTGTCACTTTGCTTCATTTTTCTGATTGAAAAAGATAGTTACAGAACGGATTAACCTTATTTACACTGAACCTTACGGGGAAATTTAACTTGGCTCACAACCAATCTGGATCATGACCAGCGTCCCGGAACAGATTAAGTTCATGAGCCAAGGTACCACTGTACTCCAAGTAGAATACGCTATGCAATCAAGAATCCAGGATTAATAGAATAGACATAAATCATCAATATGTTCACCTCCTCAACCTTGAGTGAGTGTGTGTGCACGGGTCTATCACATGCTCTCTTCTCTCTTGGATTTGCTCTGCTTTGCTCACTCCAGCCCTGCCTTCAAATTCCTGCTTTTTTACCACCTTCCGCCTCCACTGGCCCCGACACTCCCTCCTGAACTGCTAGGACAACCTCGACAAACTCAGAAATGGTTGCTGGACACCTGGCTGCGCAGGGAGGTGAGAAATGTAATAAGTGAAATGCGTTATAGATATTAACATGCAACACAGAAAGAGATGTGCATATAAGTTTGTATGCCCATGTTTTTATAATACTCATTGCCTTTCTAATCTCTGTAAACCAGGAAGCTTCAGCTGCTCGGCTGTTCAGAGAGGGAATAACCAAATGAAATCCAGCAGGAGGAAATAGCCTGATTGCATGTGTGGGTTGCCCTAGGTCTCGAAATGAGGCGGAGCACCATTATGTCCCCAAGCTTCAGCAGTCAAGAGGGAGATGGGGAGACTCTGGCCTCTTTTGTGTGGATCCTCAGCTCTGGGGGCAGCCTCCACAGATAGAGGACATCTGTGAACATCACCTTCTGAGCTTGCAGCACATCAGTGGCGGAGACAGAGTGGTTCTTTCAAAGCTCCTGTCACTGCAGCTCACTCACTTGGTGGCCACAGGCAACAAGGAATTGCTTGAATTCAAGGCAGCTGGCAGAAAGAGTCTGCAGCTAAGAAACCGAGCGGATGGCGATGGAAGGGCTTCCCACCCACTGTGCTGGTAGACTCCGTCCCTTCTCCACCAGCTCTCAGAAGGCTGGCAATCTTTCCCCTTTCACACTTTCCCAGCATTTACACAGCAGGTGGACATGCCTTTCCTAAGGTTTAATCACTGTCAGGAAGAGCTTTAAGTTAAACTAGACTAGACTTTGTACTCTTTTGGCCCTGCTCTTCTTGCCTTTGGCCCTGCTCATCAAGAGCATCTCCAAATGGGACGTTGGCGCTCAGGACGAAAGAGCTGCAACATCTGTTTCATGCACACTCTCTCTTCTCAGTGCAGCCCCACCTGTAACGCCTGGGTGCAAACCCCTTACCAGATTTGACTTCTGCTCTTTGCCTCCACAACTCTGTAATGATCTGGAAATGAAGAGGGAGGTCATTCCGCAGCCTGTGGGGGTAAAAGCAGAAAGAGACAGACATGGGAGCCATTCAGGATGAGGCTTTAAAACTGTGCTGCATTTATACGGGCCACGTGTGGGCAGAGCCGACCAGCACAGAGTAGGAAAGGGCTAAACACAAACACTGTCCATCATGGAGGACAGGGATTCCTCTTAAAGCAAAGAAACAGGATCGTTCATACTTCCTTTTTCAAACTCAACTTTAAAAGGAGAATCTGAAAAACCCAGAGGGTTTTTTTTTTTTTTTTGAAGTCCTGCTGAATTCTTCCATCAGAAAGTCTGTATAACGGCAGACATACAATACCTTCAAGGCCAGTTAGAAGTTGCCTCCTTAGTAAGATACAAACATGTGGCCATGGGAAGAGCTGGATGAGTTCAGGGAATATGGTTAGTTTGCACGGGAAATTTTGGTACTTGCCAGAGCTCTGCATAAGCAGAGTATGCTCCCAAAGTCACTTCCCCGAAGGCTTTGCAACACATGGCAGAGGCACTGACCTGATTCACACGTAGCAATAACTCTGAGTATGGGCTGAATATTGTGTGTTGCTGAATTGAGGGTTGTTGATGAATCATCAATTACTATTACGTGTAGACCCTACACTGTAGTTTAACTATAGGTTGTTAACTATGAACAACCCTGGAAAAGAAGTTATGGCTTGTCTGGGGGTTGTAAATTCTGCGTTCTTGTACTCTGGGACAACGTGGTGCATCTTCTGCATCTGTCATTATTGTTTTGTATCCAGAAAATACATTGCTTCATTCTCACCAGTGAGATACTTGGGAATTTTTTGTTTCTGTTGCCTATGCCATCTACCTACCAGAGTGACCTGAATAGCCTTAGGACTGAATTATGCTGGAGACCTTAGCACAGCCTTTCCCATCATCAATTTATTATTATTTATTCAATTTATATTCTTCATTAAATTAGTCTGAGGACTCTCTGAGCAAATGGTTCCTTCTAGATCAGTGGATCTCAACCTTTTCTATGCCCCACATCCCTAGAAAATGTTTGATTTCTGTTCGCATCCCCTACAAAAGCAATATCACATTTGAAGATGAAGAAGCCAAATTTCTAATTTTTGAACTGCAAACTGAAGCATACACAGTATTGTGGAATTGAACTAAAAAACCCCCTAAGCCTTTAACTCAGTGCATAATATTCAAATGTAAAATGAGCAATTAGAAACAATTGTAAACAGTAAAATCAATCCCAATTGTGAACATAAAATCCTTGACTTCTTTGTTCCTGCTTCTCAGTCACGATTTTGTCAAAACATTTTGTTTGTTTGTTTAAAGCTTTTATATCCTGCCCATTACTGTGTCTCAGGGCAAGTTTCTTGGTGATTGCAATCTGCAAGTCTGTCAGTGGATTCAGGCAATTCCCAGATTTTGTCTTGATTGACAAAATAGAACAGAATCCACATGTAAACAAAATAATAATAAAAATAGTATTGGGATCATTTCTGATAAATTGCAACACAGACTTCTTTGTTACACCCCCGAAATGCCATCGTGCAGGCACCTCAGGTTGGGAGCACCTGCTCCAGATGTTTTGAACTATAACTCTCATCATCCCCAGCCAGCATGGTCTGAGATGATGGGAGTTGTGGCCTACAACACCTGGACCAGACTAGGCTGGCAAAGGCTGGCTTGATGGGCAAAAACTATGTGGGAAGGGGTGCTTGCGGTCGGTCCCTGCTCAAACTCCTGTTCTGTCAAGATCATTCGCCTGGTAAGATCTGTGAGCATTCATGCAGTTCGACAATTTTAGACTCTGGACTTACAGACCTCCCACGCTTTAGATAGTAAAGAGCATGTCCTCACTTACTTCAAAATGTGGCGAGCCAGCCGTGCTGTATGTATGGCCTCTCCTGCTCATTCTGCTGAGTGGGGCCGTGGACATCTGCCCCTAACTCCAGTCCTAATGGCACTTCTGGGTTGAGAGGTTGGAAGTGAGCATGAACGCCACCTGAGTATTTAGATTAATAAGCATGAATTCCTCTTACATCTTTCTGACCAACCCTTGGTCTGTAATTCTCTCTCTCTCTCTCTCTCTCTCTCTCTCTCACACACACACACACACACACACACACACACACACACTCACTCTCTCTCTCAATCTCTTTACACCTTCCATAGGATCTGTAATTCAAATGTTGCATCAGTTTCCAGCACATATAAGAAATTCTTAGCAGGCTTTAAAGTCAGGGTGGGCAGCTTGCAGCCCTTCAAGTGCTCTGACCTGCAACCCCCATAGCCAGAAGTAGGGAATGATGGGAACTGGATATCAAAACATTTGTAGGGCCACAGGTTACCCAGTCCTGTTTTAAATGCTTGCCCTGAAATATTATCAAGATTAAATTGCCCTGCCTCCAAAAGTTCTGCATTTCAGTAGGTTTTTGTGGAACACCTAAGCAATAATTCTATATGAGCTCAAATAAACGCAGAGGGAAGAAGAGAAAGAGGTGATGCTACTCCCAACACCCTTAAATCACACCATGGGACATGTATATCCTCCCCAAAAAGAGGTAGTCTGCATTTTTGGTCTGCTATTTTGAAGTGTTTTCCTCCCCCATTATCTAGCACAGGAAACTACTTTCCGTAACCACATACTTGCAGTTGCTGAGAAATTAGAAGTTGAGAGCATGCTAGCAAAGCAGGCAGTCTCCAGTTCAAAAAGGGAAGACTGAAGGGCCTGAGAAACCTGTCAGACAAATATATGGAGGACAGATCTAACATCCTCTCTTAGTTGCTGCAGTTTAGATGGAAAGGAGCTTTCATTCAGAGGCAGGGAATCTCTCGTTCTGCCTTTGCCCACCTGGTGACCTCCAGAGACGTTGGACTATACAGTAATAGAGTAATCACTATCATTTTCCAGCCAGTGGCCAGAGGTGGAAGCAGATGCTCCTGGATGGCACCAGGTGGATGAGGCTGCCTTGATTCCCCAGCACTGACAACCCACTCTTAGCCACCTTGACTCAGCAGTCAGTCCCACTGTTCCCGATCGGGTTTACGCCCAACAAAGCATGTTTAGGATTGCACTGCAGATTCAGACAGACTTTTCTTTAGCATGGAAGATATGTGGTTATTCCTTTTAAATACTGTGTGTTTTAAAAGATGATGGAAACCACCCAAGCACTTAAAAAACAACAAAAAAGCAGAAAGATGAAACAGATTAAAAGCCAAAGGAAAGCCTGTTGGAACCAACCTTCCAAAATACTGTTTAATCCCACATGCTTTTCCCCACAGTGGTGACCAGGTACCCCAAAGAAGAGCATGAGACAGTTGCCCCTTTCTATTCATGTTCTCTCATGACTGGGAATTCAGAGGTATAGTTTTACATCCAGGCATGCAATCAAACATACCCTTTACCCCAGGACTAGGAATGAAACACTGCAGCACATCCTCAGCATGATGCCTCACTCTGATGTGTTGGGATTCAGATCCCATCGTTCCCAGCTAGCATGGCCATTGCTAGGTAATGATAGGCATTGCAGTCCAGCACCTCTGCAGGGCACCAGATAAGGGAAAGCTGTTTGAACCAATGCTGAAGATCAAACTATACCAGCTTTCACGCCGCCACACACTCTAGAGGCGTTGGGACTACAACTCCCAGCATCCCTCAGTCAGCCATGCTGAGAGTTGTAGTCCCACTGCCTCTGGACAATGTCCCGCCAGGCTGGGAAAAGCGGAACTATGTTACTCCTCCGACGCAGAAAGTGGTTCGGTCTCCGGGATCATCCTGCCAATTCATGAGGAAAGAGGCTACCGACGCGCGACAGAACGCGTGCCAGGGGATCGTCTGCATGCGCCTAATCTTAAGTTAAAAGCGCGGCAGCAGCCAAAGGATCGAAGGACGAGGAGAAAGGTGGCGGCACTAGGGAGGCACCGGGAAGAGATTAAGAGATGGGACAAAGAGCCACTCTTACCAAGAGCCGGAGGAACTCGGGAGTTGGGTAAAACTGCTTTCGGCGGGAGCAGATCCCCTCCGCTCACGAGGAGCCGGTCCGCAGCCCAACTCTGGCGCAGCGGCGGTTCCGATGCTAGGAGGCGCGGGTGGATCTTGAGCTTTTCCTCTCCTTCCTCCGGGGGCAGGATGCGAAGGCCTAAATGCACTTCGCGGGAAGGTTGAAGACTCTTCTTCCTGCTCCCCCCCCGCCCGTGCGCCGCGGTAGCCAATGAGAGCGAAAGGAAGCCTCCCTCCCACCCTGGTATTTTTTTTCCGCGTACTCTGATTGGCTGGTGTTCGCATGGACACGAAGAGGGAGGATACACTAGTCCAACGTGGAATAGAAAAAAAAGGGGAGGGGGGAACTACAGCTCCCAAAATGCTCAGGCCTGGACTGCAAACTATCCTGCGCCGATCTATTTCTGTTATTTTCTTTTAACCAGGATTTCCCACACCCCAGCCCATGAGATGATGAGGACTAGAGACTTGCTTTTTAAAACACAAGGTCAAGATCATCCACACTTTTCTAGTCCTGATCACGATGTATGGGTGTGAAAGCTGGACAGTGAAGAAAGCTGTCAGGAAGAAAATTGATACGTTTGAAACATGGTGCTGGAAGAGAGCTTTGCAAATACTCTGGCCTGACAGAAAGCTGAACGAATGGGTCCGAGATCAAATCAATTCAGAGCCTTTCCTGTAAGAAAAAATGGGGAAATTGAAGCTGTCCTGCTTCGGGCAATCATGAGAAGGCAATCATGCTAGGGAAAGATGAAGGCGGGAAAAGAAAGGGAAACCCAAATACGGAATGGATTGACCCCAGAAAGAAAACCACGGCCTGGAATTCACACGAGCAGAACAGGGCTGTTAAGGGCAAGAAGTTTTGGAGGACTTTCATTCATATGTCACCGAGGGCACATTGCAACACACAAAAAAGCAAGAGCATTGCTGCAGTTTGAGGTGAGGCGGAGAGAGGAAAATGCAAGTCAAACACTTGAGTCAGAGCATCAGAAGGTGCATCAAGTGGTGGATAATATTGCAGGGTGGCCTCTTACCAATCACTCTTCAGAAAGAAGAAACACATTCTTCAAAAAAGAGTGCATTGGTTTGCATAAAATGTGCATGTTCTAATTTATAAGTGCAAAGGTAGAAATAATTGTTAATGTAGAAACAACACTACAACTCACATTCTGTGCAAGATGGGGGACTTGCAGTTTTCTGCTTGGACCTTGGCAGCATTTCAGATAGAAGACAGTCTTCCATAAAAAGGGACCCATGGCTAAGCTACAGTAAACGACACACACCAAGATGGATCTGAGGATTTTTTCTTATGACCGATAGAGTGACCTTTGTTTTCTGTGTCACTTTTAAAGTAGAAATCTTATGTACATTGACTTAGGAGTAAGTCCTAGAGTAGGATTAACTTCTGAGTAAATGTGGATTGAATTGTTCTGCCTGGACGGGAGGTAATTCCATTATGAAAAAAAACCCTTGGGATCATGCACAGTCTGAGCTGAACCAACCCACAATATTGGTTCATGACCTTTTTGGTGAACTGAAGTGGCATAACTCAGGTGTGAAGACTGAATATCCCTCTTACTTTCTCTCTCTCTGTGCTCATAGGTGTATTCAAGGGATTCAAGAAACTCTTCTGAGTTTTAGTGACACTTCTGCGTTCTGACTGAACTCAGCAAGTTCTGGAGCACTGAGTGCAAAGAAACAGAATAGGGTAGGCTGGCATTGCCCCTGCCCCTACTTCTAATGGAACGCCAAAAGTGTGGGCTGCATGTGAACTTGTAATTTTATCTGCTTCTTCTTCTCTCTGGGTGAATTGGAGGTGGAGCCTCCTGGCTCAGGTGTTCCTTGCATGCAAATAGGTCCCAGGTGTGTGTGTGGGTTCCACTTCTGTAGGCATTAGATGGGTGTGGAGACTGAGAAGCTGAGTCACTTTGGATGCAACAAGTTAGCAGCTCCCTTTTCTTATTCTGCTGCTATATATGCACACGTACACACAAATATAATTCCATTGGTAAATATATTTACACTTACAAATATATTACACCTAATAATCATTCGTATTTTATTTATTTATCAATTTATATCCTGCCTTTTTCCTGCAAAGGGCTCAAGGCAGCTTACATCTCCTCCTCCTCCATCTTATCCCCACAACAACAACCCTGTGAGGTAGGTGGGGCTGAGAGTCTGTGACTGGCCCAAAGTCACCCAGTTGGCTCCATGGCTGAGCAGGGACTAGAACCCAGATCGCCTGAGTCCCAGTCCCACACTCTTAACCACTGCACCACACCGGCTCTCCAGCAGCAGATGCCAAGGAAGAAGAAATCAAAACCTTCTATGCAACCATCCAAAAGGAAATCGATTACACACACGCAGGCAAGACATGCTGATTATCTTAGGTGACTGGAACACAAATGTAGGAAATAGAATCCAGTGTTGTGGGAGAATTTATTTATTTATTTACATTTTTATAGACCATCACAATAGCCACACGGCTCTCTGGATGGTTTACACAGTGTAAAAAATTGGCCAAGGGGCCGGAAACAAAATGGGAGAATGAGTCGTAGAATTCTGTGAAGCCAACCATCTGTTTATTACAAATGCATACCTTTGGAACCCAGTCAAAAAACTGTATACATGCATAGCCATCACCAGATGCCCAATATAGAAATTAAATAGATTATGTGATTGAAAGTAAGAGATAGATAAACTGTTTTCTTGCTGTGAAAACCAAGACCAGGAAAAATTGTGGCAGTATCCATGTACTCTTAATATCAAACATCATATGTGGTAAAGCTGAAAAAAATACTTAAGAGAAGCATGGTGGCAAAATACAACTTAAGTATGAATCCTGAGGAATTTAAAGCCACATAAAGATCAGATTTGCATTACTGAACTCACCAGAACTGTTGACTGAAACCAAATATATTATTATGGAAGAATGGAAAAAAGACAATGCCTTAACCAGGGGTGTCCAACCTGCGGCCCATGGGCTGCATGAGGCCCTGGATAACTATGAATGCAGCCCAACATAAAATTGTAAACTTACTTAAAACATTGAGATTTTTTTGGTGATTTTTTTGGTAACTTGATTGTGCAGTTCTCAAGCATGAACTTCATGGATGACAACATTGTGTTGCAATATCACATAAAATAAATGTACGTATGTTCTTGCTATTTGTATGCATGGTGCTGGCAAATACCACAAAAATAATGCACAGAACTTTTTTTTTTTTGCTCATCAGCTTTTGTTAGTGTTTGTGTATTTAATGTGCAGCCCAAGACAATTCTTCTTCTTCCAATGTGGCCCAGAGAAACCAAAAGGTTGGACACCCCTTCCTTAAACAAAAACGAAAGAAACCCTAGATGGAAACAGAAGAAACACAATTGCTAAGGACAGACAAGAAGCAGAAGGTGACTCAAATAGGATCAGAATCCTGAATATAACTTCTCAGCGACCATTATGTAGAGACAAAAAGCACTATTATAATGGCCAGTGCAAAGAACTGGAAGGTAACAACAACAGAGGCAAAAAAAGACTGCTGACAGACTCCTTCAAAGAGGAATGCTATGAGGAAGAACCCACAATATTAGAAAATGAAGTGAAAGCTGCTCTTGGAAGGAACATTGCACCCAGAATAGATAAGGTACCAATAGTACTTTTCCAAGCTGCAGAGACTGAATTGGTCCAAATCCTAACGAGGATATGCCAACACATATGGGAAACAAAACTATAGCCCACTGACTGAGATTTTACCCTAAACGGAGCAAGAAATGTCCGATGTTCAAGATGGATTCCAGAAAGCAAGTGGCACTCGAGATCATATGGCAAATGTACACAGGCTGCTGGAGCACATTCAGAATTTCAGAAGATGATCAGTCTGTGGTTTACAGAATTCAGCCAAGCCTTTGCATGGAAGCTATGGATGGTCCTGAAACTTGTCTTGGAATGAATAATGCTGGTGGGGGAAAGGAACTGAATGTCTGATTCTTTCCCAGATGATGGGAGCAGATCTTATATATTCCAAATAATAGGTTGTGGGGGAAAAGTTTGGAGACCACCCCAATAAGTTTTTGTTACAAAAATTCAGATGCAACCTCCAAAATCTTGTAACTAGTTATGTTTCATTTCTATTTTTTCTGGAAATATATCAATTACTTACTTTTTTTCTCTCTCAGGAAGCTGTGACCTATGAAGATGCAGTTGCATATTTCATAGAAACACAGTAGGCCTAGATCCACAGTAAAGAGGTATCTATTGGATATTGCTGTGTAATAAACCCTTTTGCTTTATCTCATAGAAATTGATCCAGGAGAGCTCATCTAAGGGAAACTTTGAAAAACTCATGCATATGTCTAAAACACAATTGCTCTTAGGCAGTCCAGCCTGTGTGTTTATTGAAAACTGATGGAGAAAACTGATTGTGCTGCATCCTCCTTGCTTCTCCCAACAATGAGGCACTTCAGGAGCAGAATTATCCAGGCTCAATTTCATTTGGAAATAGAAACTGCTAGAAGCTTGCAGTGCTTTTCTTGTAACATCTGGCTTTATTTGCAAATATGCAAGTTGAGCGTGGGTGGAGGCAGACAGCTTAAACATTCAACCACCAGTAAATACAGCACTTCACATGAGATTGTCAGGGAGAGGCCTGGTGTCTCAAGAACTTAAAATGCTGGTTCTCTTTTCCCTGCCTCAGACTGACTTGAAGGGGGGGGGGGGGGGGGGGGGGGGAGTTGCTTCTTTTCAACAGGGATGAGGAAGGGGGCCATCTTAACAAGATATTTTGGTGTCTTGGGGGAGGTACAATATTGGGACATTTCCAATTTTAATAGCAGGAAATAGCGGGTTTAATAGCGGGTTGATGGTGCCACTAACCACTCCAGTGCCCTTAAAGGCTGTGTACCTCCCAAAGTTAGAAAATGGAGTAGTTTATTTCACTCCCTAACACAGTAAGGGAGAAGGGCCCTTTTGGGAGTGGCACCCCAACTTTGGAACAAGCTGCTCAAAGAGGTTCGCCTGGTGCCCTCTTTATACTCTTTTCTGTGCCAGGTGAAGGCCTTTTTATGGTATTTTAGTTGTTAATTTGTTTTTATTGGCATTTTAACAATAGGGTATTGTTAGGAACGGAATCAGGTTCCAAGGAATGACGACACAGGAGACAAAGTACCAAGCAGCATTACTTTACTACATTCTTGCAAGAGCGGGTGCCCACCTCACAGGTAGCGTGCCGGTTTGACAAAAGACATTGCCTTTTATTCCCTTTCCCCAATTCGCAGGCCCTGCCTCTTTCTCTCACTGGCTGGGTTACTAAGAGGTCACAATCTTCTCCATCTGCCTCCATCATCCTACTTCTTGATATGTTCCCCCACCTGCTCATACATCCCATGTTCATGCTAATAAGCCCATTACCTTTGAGAGGTGTGTCAGTTATTATTCATAAGCCTGTTAAGCGTGCGCTTTACTTCCTAGGAGTTCACTAGTTCATCTTGACCTTCATCAGTCTTGCCTTGTGACCACTTATCTCCTAAAACTACTGGGAGGATGAGATAGGGAATAGCCAACTTTCTTCCAAGCCAATTATCTTTTTTGCCAGTTGCCAAAAGACAATTGCTTACTATCTTCTACAAAAGCAATAGTTCAACCATTCCCTACAATTCCCCACTTCTTTTCTTCAGAACTTTGATGTGAGAAATACTATTCTTCTTGTACTCATACTTAGTTATACTACATATTAATTCACCTTTGTTTGCTTACCTTAGTAACTAATTCAAACCTGTCTACTTACTTCTACTTCCTATTTATATTTCCTTCCTATCTCTTTATACTGCTCCTTACTCTGGCCTTTGGCCTTATAAGGTCTGGTCTTTAGTAATCCATCATTCTTCTGCTTAGTAACAGTAATTTTCCTTCTCTCACAGTATGCCTTTTATTAGTTTATTGTTTTATTGTAATTGTGATTTGTGTTTTTATATTGTATTACGTGGTTTTATTGTAACCTGCTCAGGGAGCCTTATGGCTAATGGGGCAGCTTAGAAATTCAATAATAATGTTGTAATTTAAAATGGCACACACAGTGGAGACTGAACTGGTCAATGCATCATTTTCCTTTATCGCACACCAAGTCTCTGGGTCATTTGGCACCATGGACCTCTTAGCATATTAGGAACTGCCCATTTTGCCTCTCCATCAAAAAATCCCTGTTTGGAGAACATATGGGCCTCCAGATGTGGCTGGATTCCACCTCTAATGGGCCCCAGCCAGGTTTAGCCACAGGGGAGGTTGGTCGCTCCTGTCTCCTTTACAACACCACCCAGAAGCAACCCTTTAACATTCAGTCACGCCCAGAATGAATTGCAGAACGCAGCAGTCACACTGTTCATTTTGCTGGGCTTCATGAAGAGATAGCCTCTTTCTCCGAATTTATTATTGATGATGGATGCAGTGTCTTCTGTTTTATTTTATTTATTTATTTATTAAAACATTTTTATGCCGCCCCATTTGCCGAAGCCTCGGGGCGGCTTACAACAATAAATTAGATCCACTAATCTGTTTGCCACTGAAGTTCTGGGAACTTGTTTGAGACCCTCTCTCATCTCATAAGAGGTGGCCCAGGTAAGGCTGGCTTGCATGAGGGAGGGTGAAAAGACAGGTTACGAGGAGCCAGGGGTGGAGGTATATTTCAGATGCAAGCTATGGACTTCTCTACAGGAGGCTTTTAATCCCACCATTTTAGTTGGGGTTCTGCTTCTGGATTCTTTGCAGAATTAAGAGTGGCTCCTTTACTTTCATTTTTTTCCTTGGATTTTTCTCTTCTTTGTTCTGCTGCACCACAGAAATACACGAGCATCTCATCCTGGTCCACTTCACCATTTTGAGATGTTATACTTTCCTCAGTCTAAGAAAATCCATGGAAGTACTTAGAAAGCATGAGAGAGGCCCTGGAAGATGCCAGCACTGTGTAAAGTACCTGCAGCTACTGTGAGGAACCATCTGCCAGTCTTTTGACTGCAAATATCTAATTCTCATCAACAAACAATTGAACTCAAAGTCTGAAATCACCCATAATGTGTGTGTGTGTTTCAGATTTAGTTTTCCTCCTTCAGTGTTCTTTGACCATTGGGATGCGGCTATGCAAGTTAGAGAAGAGAGGTGGTGATGCTTCAGCTGGGAACTGAGGGACTTCTGCAAGGATGGGGGTTCTCCCAGTCCAAACCTAATTCTTTCAGGCACCACCTTCTTCATGTGTCAAAACCGAATGAGATATGTATCTTTAGTCAAGATAAATCTTTTATTTATTTATTTTTCGATTTATATCCTGCCTTTTTCCTACAAAGGGCTCAGGGCAGCTTACATCATTCTCCTCCTCCATCTTATCCCCACAACAACCCTGTGAGGTAGGTTGGGCTGAGAGACTGTGACTGGCCCAGAGTCACCCAGTTGGCTCCATGGCTGAGTGGGGACTAGAACCCAGATCATCTGAGTCCCAGTCCCATGCTCTTAACCACTGCACCACACTGGCTCTTGAAGTAGTAAATCTTAAAAAAGATTCTCCAAATTTCTTTTGCAAACCTTGGGGTTCCACTGAGTCTATTACATTGCTGTTTTGCGTGGACGGAGCTGCATGGCTTCATAAGGACTGGCACTCAGAGAACTATGATTGATACTAGTATGTAGGGTGCTTTTAGTATTCTGGGTTTTGGTGTGATATGAAGACGACTCATCCTGTTTGTAAGGTTTGATGCCAAGGATTAAAGAATCCATCCCTTAATGGTGGCTTAGGAATTATTTCAGATGGATGAATAAATAGAATTTTCTGATAAATGAGGGGAGTATCTTTCCAAAATAATTGATTGAGGGTACAACCTTTGGGCTTTCTGATACTATCTGGGGGGTCATAGGAATATTCATACTTAACTACGAGTGTTCAGTAAGACCTATTGATTTGTGCCTCGCCCCTTCATTCAGGTGTTGCTTGAGGTCCTTCCTCTTCAACTCTATCTTAAAGTGAGTTCATAATCACAATACTTGATGAAACGCCCCTCTCAGCCACAATCCACCTGGACGCTACGATCGAGACCTGGAGCTTGCCTCCAAGGGAGGCTGGATTGGTGCCAGCAAGGAAGATGGCCTTCTCAGTGGCAGCCCCCTTATTATGGCAGACACTCTGGACAGAGGCTAACTTGGCACAAACTCCACTATTGTTTTGGTACCAGGTTAAGACTGTCCTCTACAACAGCACACTTAATTAGGCTTAATATTATATTATATTGGGGCTTATGTTAGCTGCTTAAAAAGTCTTGCAATTTATTTTGCATTGCCACTGTAACTTTTTAATTTTTGTTCTGTAATTTTAATGTATTACATTACTTAATATTATCTGTATTTTATTGTGCTGTTGTAATTTATCCAGAGAGCCTCAGCTGTTGGGTGGTGTAGAAATAAAATTAATAGTTGTAGTAATAATAATAATCAGTTGTCGTTTTGAAGAGCAGCTTCTTAATCTATGATGTACTTACTAATGTCACGTATATTACACAACAGCCATAGCTTTCTGGACAGTTTACAACAGCATTATGTGGGCCATGAACGATCAGCCTGCAGGCCAAAATATCTAAAGGCTCACAACCTCCATCATTCTTAGCCAGCTGCATGCAATAGGACTTTTTGGCCTAAACGTCTAGAAGGCAACCAGTTGCCAACCCCCGATGTAAAAAACTGAATGAAGCAAAATTAGAGGACAATACTTTTTATTGCACAAAAAAGCAGTTTAGAATAGTGCAAATATGTTGTGAGGCATACAGGTATGTTGTAATCAATAGCACTCATGGCAAAATGCTTTTTAAAAAGGAACAGGATTAAGAGGGCTCCTTCTTTGGGTCAACTATTGTCACACATCTCTGAACACTTTTCATGCACAGACAAACGTTTTTGTTCAAGCTTATGCATGTGGCTGATGTCAGGCAGTACTTTGCAGAATGATCACTTTTAATGATGGCAACAGTTCCTAGAAATAGGTCTATTTCAGTCAAACGAGCTGTGGGCAAGCATTTTCCTGTTTCTATGAATGCACAGCAATACATATATCATTGGTAGCTGCTTGCCATTTTGGCTGCCGAATAAAAAAAATACAAGGCATCACACAACTTTTAAACCGGGGTGGGCCATACCTAGAATCATAGAAGAGTGGAGTTGGAAGGGGCTTGCCTTTTTCTTCCTTTTCAGAGCAGCTCTGAGGGCAAGATCAAAGGCAGATGGGAGGCATCCAAAAATGCCAGTATATTTTAGCTTAAAGCTCTTACTGCCAGGAACTAAACTTTAGGAGAGGTATAACAATCTTTTAGAATGGAAGAAAGTGCATAAAAACCGAGTAGTCACAAAACAATTAGCAGACAATTGATAGGAAGGGGGTATGGCCATGAGAAGGAGGTGTGCCTGTCTGTGGAAACATGGATGGCCAGACCTAGCCTATAGATTGGAAGTTCCTCACTTCTATTTTAAGCGTGTGGGTCTGCTTTCATACAAGGCACTTCATTTTTTTCTAAGACATTATTACTTTCATTTTGTCAAAACACCATTTCCATGGTGAGTGAAAGGGTTCTGAAATTTTGCACAAGCCCTCTAGCTGAAGAGAGCCTCTCCAGTTCAGGGATGAGATACCCCTGAGTGCCAATTGCTGAGGGCACCAAGCAAGGCAGCTCTCAGTTAGCCCTGCTTCCTGAGTTCCCAAAAGGACCAGGTGGACATTTGGTCCTAGTACAAGAAGGCTCGTCTTATATCCTTAAACCCTCCAAGCATAAATCATCACATGCCAAATTATCTATCAAGTGGGGATTTGGGCTGCTTTCTGGCATCTCTGAATCCACCGACATTGAATCCAGCAAAATTTAAGGTGCATCAGAATGGGCAAAAGCACAGGTGGTGCTGGTCCAGGTCCTTGGGCTCAGCTGCGGCAGCCATTCATAGCAAAAGAAGTGGTGAACTTCTGGAGTTGAGCACAGGTGTTGCGGTGCCGGGTGGCCTGACACTGAAGGGGTTTTGGTACCTCCTCCACCCAGGAGTTCCTATCCAGCAGGTACTGAGGGCTGTAGAAAGGCAGGATTAGAATGCAGACAAATCCTACTCAGGAAACTGCTTTAGACTGAGTGAAGCCTATCCCAGTATTGTCAACATGGATGGGCAGCAGTGGGATTTAGGTGGGATTTTTTCCTCGCCCTGTGTGGAGATGCCAAAGAATCGAAGCAGAGGCTTTCTGCTTGCAAAGCACATTCTTTGCCACTGAGCTACAGCTTAATCCTGATCCCCAGTTTAAAAAAAAATATGCTGAAGGGTTAAGATGCATGCAGCTTGGCAAATGACTATTCTCACATTTGCATTTACACGAACAACATCGTTGTGAGGGGAAGAGGAGGCAAAAGCAGTACTGGTGGAGTGCAAGGATGTTTAACTCTCCCTGTACCACTGATTCTCCAAATCAATGCCCCTCCCCCTCCCAAGTGGTGCTTCTATCTGCATTTGAGTGTTGGCTCTGGGAAGAAAGAGGCAGCCCAGCATTTGCAGGGGGAAGCCTTAAGCTTGCTGATTCTCTGAGGGAGGACAGCAGAGCTCCGGTCTCCCTAACAGTTGTGCAGAAGAGGGAATTTTGGGAGGCACAGCTTGTTCTGCAGGGCAGAGAAAAGGGGCCCTGGCTGAAATCCCCTCTTCGACCCAACTGTAAAGGGCGCAGGAGCCCCACTGCTCTCAGTTTCATTGGGTATTTCATTCTGCCCCCATCTCCACCCTCGGAGGTTGCCAGCAAGCATGGCTTCCTCCCCATAAACACCTTGCAGGGCACTGAAATCTGCATAGTGATTCCTAGTGATTCCTCGACGGCAGTTCCAGTGCCTCTGCCCATTCCTGGGCATGTAGCCAGGTATGTATGGGGGAGGCTGTTCACCCTCAGTACTGTCCGCCTCCGCTTTTTACAAGCAAGTAAGACAAGGAAGAGTTCGCAATTTTGCTTTTAAATGGCCCACAGACCAGCTGAACTGACCCAGTCTACTTTTTTGGCCGCCCTGCACTTAAATACCTGGCCCTTCCATCGTCCACTAGACACACGATTTCACCCCGCCCCACACGGCACGCTGCTCTTGACCTACCGGCTCTGAGGATCCTGAGTTTCCCCATCATGTCCCATCAGGAGATATTCACTGCCTGTGGACAAGCGTGTGCGACACGCTGCTCGCACCACAAAGCGTCTGGTGCTTTTAGTGGAGATGTCAACATCTGCAGCTAGAGAGGAGGAAAGAATTAATAGTCAAGGTGTGGGAGCAGCACATGGTCTGGCACCAGTAGCTGATGAGTAGCATCGCTGAAGAAGCTAACTGGGAGCAGACCTGATCAATGAATTTTTCATTTCTCCTTGCTTTTGCTTTTTTATCCTTCAATTGAAAAAATGCCTCAGTCAGTTTTTGGAACTTTGCACTGCTGAAGGAGTTTACTTTGCTTTTATCTTTGTTTCTATTCTCTTAAGTATTTGATCTTACATTTTTTGTAATTCATGGTTTTAAGTGTTCTTTTGTAAACTACCTAAGCCAGCTTTGTGTATTGTCATGGTGGTTTTCCTGTAGTTTGTGGGAAGGGCCTGAACTGGGTTGGAGCCATAGCAGAAGGGAGCCGGGACTGAACCCTTTTGCCTGCTGGGGTCGCAAAAAGAATCAGCCGCTCTCACACATCCACCTGCTATTCACAACAGGTGGAACAGGCCCCTTCGTCTCAGGAGAAGCTTTCCACCATTGCAAAGCGCACATATACAAAGGGTTCTGAAGCTCTGCAGAAGGAAGCAGGAAGAGGCAGCTGGCTTGCTTGTCTCTCCCCCCTGTCCAGTTTCTGCTTTCCTGCCCTGCTCACCTATTCATGCTTGCTGAATCTTGACCTCTTACTGTTTGATTCTTTTTCTTAGACCTTTGGGAGTGTGACCAGAACTTTTACCCTTGCCTTGCTTAGACCCACCCTGGCCTGTTACTACAGGGATGGGAAACATCTGTGTGTGGGTGGGTGCCTTTTCTCTGTTGTGGGTTTCTTGGTAGGAATGGCCATGACTGAAGCTAACAGTGAGCAGAGTCCCCATCGTCCCCATCCACTCTGCCGCTTTTTCCCTCTCCTTTTTCACGTTCCTCCACCCGCACCCCCTCCCCCATCCAATGGGCTGCCAAGAAAGAGACAAATTGTTTTTGTAAGAAATCTAAACTTGTGGAGAGATTTTGAAATTAGACCTAGAAAAGCCTAAAATTAGCCTGAGGACTGCAGACTGCCAATCCCTGTGTTAAAGGATTTTGCTTAGAATTATCCTTTTTTTTTTAAGTGATTTTTCAAATTTAATTTTTATTGCAATTTAAAAAAACCAAACCACATCATAGAGAAAAAAGGCAAAATAGGTTAAAATATTACAATTTTTGGATAATATTTATAAGGACAAAGTCCTTTCTGGGTTGTATATCCTTATATATTAAGATATAGCAAAATGTACTACTGTTGTTAAAAATAGTTACACATACATTTTAGCAAAGACAGCCCAAATATCCATGTATTAATCCATTTGTTTTGATTTTTTCCGGCAAGAAAGCTCTGCATTTATTATTTATTTCATTTCTATACTACCCTACAGATGAAACTCTCTGGATGAGGTATAACATAGTATTTAAAAGACTGTCCCTAAAGACACTTACTGAACTTCAAGACCTCTAGGATCTCAACTTCATAGATACGAAAGGCACTTTCTTTGCTCTCACGCTCCACTCGAACTCGGAATGCTGTGGATAAAAGACAAAAGATTGTAGTAAGTAGGAAAATTACTTGAGGGAACCCAGTAAAACAAGAACTGATTATATAATGCACGTTGCTTTGTGTGCTGTTTCTCCGAAAAGGAGTCTGTATATTCTGTAAAGAAATAAAAATGTGCAGACAAGAGAAGCTATCCAGATCTAATGGCAGAGGCTACTGATCAAGATGGATTTGATAATATGAACCTCTTTTTGGACTTACACACTTTTCTGCAAAAGGCTATTAATCTGTTGATCTACTTTTCATTTTATCTCAATATTAAGATCAAAGCACTAAATGAACTTTTCCTTTCCTGCTGTTCTGCTACATAACCTCTAGGTGGCAATCTATGATACTCTGCAATATTAATTCTTTCACATCAAAAATAATATCACATTTTTCCAGCAAAAAAAGCCTCTCAAAAACTGCTGTTTATACAGAAACAAAACTGGAGGGACAACAGTGTTCTCTAAGGAACCAACCGTGAACGAAGAATGATGAACACACAGCAAATGGCTCATACAGGAAATATTTAAGTTAGATCAGCACACAAGTACAGAGCTGAAAGTAGGCTGTATGAGAAGCAGAAAAGAAGCCAAGAAACATAACCAAGAGGATTGGACAAAATTGAACAGGCTTTGTGTGTTGCAGTGACAGGAAGTACGTGAGGGAACAGCCAAGATGAGCCGGGCTAGAAAGGATGGGGCCTCAGTTTCCAGGACTGAACCCTCTTACCATAATGTATGATGGGAATGTAACATGCGAAGTCGACACGAGCGTCTTCTGTAAGAGCATCCTCAAGGGTATGCTTCAAACGTGGGCAGGCCCCTGCGCAGGAAGGGAAAAGACCGGTCACATTTCTCGGGCTGGTTTTCAGGACATTAGTGCAACATGGCTGTGAGATGCAACCAACTTCTCTAGGAGGGACAGGGCAAGGGCTCGGTGGTCTTAATGCAGACAGCAGAGAGACCCCAGACACCTGGATTCTCAGAGCCTTTCCAGATGTTGGTTTTCTGAGTGCTGCTCAGAAAGGTAATCCGGAGGGCAGATGTTCTAACAGCACTCTTGCCATCAATGCTAGCTGCATGAAGGTGTGGCTTGGCCTGTGGGAGATGCCTCTTTCCAATGCTATCCCTGCGACATTGGACAGGTGGTGTGACATTCCACAGATCAGGACTGCGGGGTCAAATTCACGCCATCTGAAGTCTCCAAATGGCCATGTCCCTCCCCCTAACCCCACCCTTTGCCTCCAGCCACAGACTGTTTGGTAGTCCCCCAGCTTTTGTGCAGCATTTTCTGAAAGGTTGAAAGGCCCTTCCTCTGCGGCTCAGTTATTGGTAATAAGAGCTTTAAGCTAAAATATGTTGCTGTTTCTTTTCCTTTTTGCTTTTGGTTTCCATCCCCTTTGCCTTTGGTTCCACCCATTACTGGGATATGGCCCCCAAGGACTTATCTGAAATGGAAGGCAGTCCCACCACTGCAATAAATTCTGTAAGGAACCAACATCCTCACTAATACACCTTCCACAACTACTCTCCTAGATTGCACCAAACCAGAGATAAGGGAGCATTCCTGAATGCAGACTGAGGTAGGCCACATCTTCTGCCAGAATGCAATGTTGTAGTCATGCTCATTGGGTTCATAAAACAGTAGAGCTGGAAGGGGCCATGAAGGTCATCTGGTCTACCCCCCTGATGTTGCAGGACACCACGTTATACCATCCCACTCAGATGGCTGCCCAGTTTCACCTTGAATGACTCTAGTGTGGGAGAGGCCACAACCTCTCTGGGCAACTGGTTCTACTGCCATAGTGCTCTGACAGTGAGAAAACTTTTCCTGATGTCCGGCCTGAATCTGTTTTGTCGCAACTTGAGTTGATTATTGTGTCCTACACTATGGTATCAGCAAGAAGAGATCTGGACCTTCCTCTTTGTGACAGCCTTTGAAGTACTTATAGACTGATATTCTTCAGATTTCTCAAGGCGAACATGCCCAGGTCTTGGAGTCTCTCCTCATAGGGCAGTGTTTCCAAAATCTGGATCCTTTTTGTTGCCCTAGTCCGGACCTTTTCTAATTTCTCTACATCTTTCTTAAATCTTGGTGCCCAGAACTGGATACAGTATTCCAGATGAGGTCTGACTGGTGAGGAGCTTCTAACTTCTCATGATTTGGAAGTAATACTTCTGTTAATGCATCCCAAAATAGCATTTGCCCTTTTTGCAACTGCATTGCATTGTTAGCTCATATTTAGCCTGTTGTCCACAATAACTCCAAGGTCTTTTTCAGTTCTGTTGAGACCCACATATTCCCCATCTTATATTGATGCATTTGGTTTCTTTTTCTGAGGTGGAGGACTTGTCCCCATTGAATTTCACCCTTTTGCTTTCAGCCCAGCATTCCTGTTTATCAAGATTGCCCCAGATCTTCATTCTGTCTTCTAGGGTGTTTGCTATTCCACTCAGTTTTGTGTCATCTGCAAATCTGATTATCTTTCCTTGTACTTCCTCATCTAAGTCATTAATAAAAATGTTGAAGAGTACTGGGCCTAGGACAGAACCCTGCAGCACCCCACTAGTTACCTCCCTCCAGTTTGAGAAGATGCCATTGATGAGCACTCTTTGTATCCGATTTAGCAGCCAATTTTGGATCCACCTAATAGTTTTTCTGTCTAGTCCACTTTTTGCTAACTTGTTTATCAGAATGTCATGGGGCACTATGTTGATAGCTTTGGTAAAGTTAAGGTAGATTATGTCCACAATGTTCCCTCTGTCTTTTTGGGAGGTTACCCAGTCAAAAAGTGAGATTAAATGGGGTTGTTTTAGTGAGCCTTAATTCACACTCCTGTTTTGTCATCTGGAACTCCTTGAGTGGCAAGTTCATACTGACAATCTTGATCAGGGACACTCAGAAGCCTAAAGCCAGCCCAGCAATCTTACCTTCAGCACATTGGCAGACATCATCTGAGCACAGTGCAGACACATACTGAGGATTATTGGGGGCACCATAGAAAATGTTACAGCGCTTGTCTGTAGGGAAAAGAATTGTTCCAGAAAAACAGTGAGTGTGTAACAGATAAAGGATGCTGCTAAGTTTAGTCACTCAATTTGTAAGACAGGGAAAGCATTCATGGAAAGCTAATTTCTAAGGTGCAGGGAAAATGTGTGTGCAGGTTTGGGCAAATAAAAGGAAAAATCTTGAATAGGGCCCATTATGTATAAAGGTTGGCAGATAGTTCAGTACAAAATGTTATGGTTTTTCATTCCTTTTTTGGCAGCATATTCATAATAGAAGTTCATAGTGAATGTAGCTTGAAGGTTTACAAGAGTTTCCTAAGTGATTATTAATACCTTCAAGGCTGTTTGAACTCTAGTTTTATCTATGGTTTGTTCCAGCCAGGTTGGAATTTTGGAAATAGTTCACATTTACATGCTGCACTTGAAAAACTGTTACTTGGGTTTATTTATAATGCTTAAATAGTTAACCTGGTGCCCCCCCCCAAATGTTTTGGATCACGACTCCCATAATCCCAGACTTCTGGACATTGGTACAACAAGGACACATATGAGGGTTGCCAACATATTTAAGATATTTTAGTTGACTAATCACCTGCTTCTTACACAATTCAATTTAAATGCATCTGCTAAAACCTCTAACCTTTAAGGATAGAGAAGGATGAGACGATTTAAGAAAGAAAAGATCGCCCTTATTTCTCTACTGTGACCAGCAAGCCCTGACAAGGCAATGCTGGGCCCCCCCTGCAAAGATGCGCCAGCCTGTCACTGGGAAACTCCCTTTGCCCTTGTTTACCAGGTTCATAAAAGTCATAGATGGTGGCACTGGATGGCTGGAGCTTTCCCACAGGCACAGTCTGCTTGGCTCTAAACACGATACATTCACGGCCAGAGTCTGGCACCTGTACACAAATAATATATATAACAACAGCAGTTACTTTATAGCCTCCTTTTCTTTCAAACGTCAAGTCCACTAGCATCAAAATGACAACAACAAAACCAAAACAAATAGGAAGCAATGCAGCAAGTAAACAAGAAAACCAAGAAAACGCCTGTGATGTCCTGGTAGTACCAAGTCAGCCCACTGGTGAAAAATCCCAGTGGGACAGAAAAAATAATAATATTGTGCCACCTGCTTTATGTAGCTAAGGACTCCAGCTGGTTGTTCAAAGACAAAGGAGATTGCCTAGCCCAAACATCTGCTCTTCCCATTGGCTAACGACAGGATAGCCCTGCAGTCCCATCCCCAAATGACATGGCCCTCTTTCTTTTCTTCCCCTTTTATTTTTACAGAGTGGGTGAGTGTGGAGCAAAGCACCCGTCTGTCATGCCCGAGATCTTCATCCTGTAGGACCCAGAGCTGGCAGAGATGGTGGCTTATGCAAGTGACTGGAGCTTTGCTCCACATGTGCAACCTCCCCCCCAAAAAGTAAGAGAGGAGAAAGGAAATATGCTCTGACCACTGACACTGCTGGCAGTACTTGATAACAGGGCAAGACCAACCACAAGCAGCCGTGGGAAAGTGGGCTCCTTTTTTCTGCGCTTCTTAGAGCTTAACCCTGTATGACCCTAAGGGGCCAGGTTATCAAGAAACACCTCATCTCATACGTACCCACACAGCGCCTGTGGTCATCTTTGGGGTCCTTCTCCAAAGAAGGTGCAGGGGGTGGCTATCAGGGGGAGGGCCTTTTTGTTTGCAGCACCCTGGCTGTGGAATGAGCTCCCCAAAGAGGTGCGCCTGGTGCCGATTTTGTATTCTTTTCAGCGCCAGGTGAAAAGCCAGTTTAACTTTTTAACTTTAGCTTTAATATTGCACTGGATTCCATACTGCTGCTATGCTTCCGTGCTGATTCAGTTGCAATTGCTGTGGTTTTCTTGTTTTATGTTGATTTTTGTTGGTGTGTTTTTAACTTTTTTCGCTGCCCAGAGAGCCTTGGACAGTTCGCTTCCTGCCATGCAGTAAGGGGCATGTAGGAAATGAGAGAAAGCAGTGCAGTGGTGGGATGGGTCCCAGAGGGCAACACGGCCAGGGCCCCTTCAAACTGAGTGGTACCACATATTGGACCTTTGCAAGTCCAGAATGATATCATCACCAGACCATTCCCTGTCACTGGAACATGTTATCTTCTGGATCCTGGTTGGATCCGTCTATTTAAAAGTTTGTTTTTAAAAAGTATCTTTTGCTCTACCATTTGGTTTCTGGGCAGCTTGCATGCTGGACTAGATTGCTCATCCGTCCTAGCCAACAGGGCCACTGGGGATGCTGGGGTTGTAGTCTGACCAATCTGAACTGAAACAAGTTGGGGAAAGCTCCCCTCCTGCCTCTTTCCTCCTTATGTCCTCTAGCAAGAGCCTCTCACCGATTCGATGTAGAGCAGTAACCGCTGTCCTTGGATCTCCCAGTGGCTGATGTATTGATCTGGAACATCTCGCAGCTGCAGTCATGAGCAAGAGACACAAATGAAACAAAACAAGCTGTTTCCCTGAAAAGAAGCTACCTGTCCAGGATTGCATGCAAATGGCCTCTCAAAATTCTCCACCCTCACAGGGGAGAGAAATTGGAGGCAACATTTCACAGAATTTCTATGCAAAGCAGAGAATTTCTCCAGCAGTTTCTCAGAGACATGGCTCAACATTAACAGTGGCAAGTGGACAGCTTCTTTCTTTCTTCCGAAGGTTTTATTTATATGGAAGTGGAGCTGCACCTGTGCTGGCAGTATGACCACCATTTTGTGTCATCCACAATGCTCTACACAATGCTTTAAATTAGCATAATTCCATGACATTGTATGTGGATGGACAAAAACTGACAGAGAGAGAGAGAGAGAGACAGACAGACAGACAGAGACAGAGAGATAATCCAAAGAAAGTTTGTAAAATAGCGCTGCTTTTCTAAGGGGCTGAGAGGAAAAAAAAACTCAGCAATTTTCTCACAAAAATGTATTTGGAAGAATTTCAGCTTGGCTCTAGGCATGACGTTTTAAGTGGTGTAAGTAATGGACTGACAAGGCAAGAATGTATATCGGCTGATTTGTAGGCAGCTGCCAAGGGCCAATTGCCAAGCTGTCAATTGAAAAGCACAGGTACAATGGGGAAAAGGCACCCAAAACAGAGGTGGGTTGGGACAGGAGCAGGATGACAATCTCCCCCTCTTAATGATGTAACCCTTTCCATCTTAAGAGACAGTTCACTGTCTTCCGCCTTTTCAACACTCCCCTGAGTCCAGAAAGGGGGAATGGTAGCTCTCTACCCTCTTCTTGTGGCTTTTTTTCAGAGTGGTAAATTTGGAGGTGTAAATTTCCCCTCCATTTACTTCCCAGCCATTAAATTTGTGTATATTTCTCTGCTGTTTTTGAGAATTGTCAGGTAACTGCAGTGGTAAAGGAGCTGTGAGAAGGGGTAAGAGAGTTAGTATCTCCTCTTTCACGATTTCCTGGAGCACTGTGGAGTGTTGAAAAGATGGAAGGGCACTGAGAGATGTCAGTTCACTTAAAACTGAGGGGATCACAGCGACCAAGAGAGAATATTGTGCCCCTCATCATTTTTCCTATTTTTTTGTTGCCTGATTTTAGACTTGGGGGTACAGGACATGCCCCAGGGCTGGCACTACTCTCTCTACCCCCACCCTTGGTACCTGCACTCCAGGGGGCTGCCACCCCAGGCCCAATGAGACAGTCAGCTCTGATAACCATCCTGTATCAATGCCTGGTCTTCAGGCCAGACCTAGAGGTGCATGGCTTTGCCTCTGTGCTCAAGCAGCGCTTGCCACATCAGTCAGGGGCAGAGGCAGTGTGACCCAATTGTGCACTTCCGCCTTTCTCTTGCAACTCTTTCGGGCCTGACAGATACTCCCAGCTTGGGGTGCCCACTGGGTGCAGGGACAGCTCAAGCTTGGGTGGCTGGGTGTGCCAAGGCTTATTTTCTGTTCCTTGTGCTTGCACACAGAGCTCTGAGTGCAGAGGAACAGGCACTTTCCCCACAATCGTATGCTGTGCTTCAGAGGATGCTGCACAAGTCTGGAATAAGACAGTGCCCATGGGAGCAGGGAGTGCAATGCTAGTAATAACAAATCTTTTGTTGCTTTGTAAGGCCAGTAAAAACGGGTGAGCTCCTGCCAGTGACACTCCCCAAATGTCCGCTCCAGCTGCTTTGATCCCTGCAAGGTTCCAGACCCAGGAAGGCAAAGCAGGAGTGTTTCAGCCTGTGCTGGGCAGGCCGGGCCAACTCTCCCCACTGCATATCTCAGGGCTAATTAGACACAATACTACACACAGAGCATCCCAGTGATCCTGACTTTTTAAATCTTGTCATCCAAATGTGTGACCTATCTGATCTGGCCTGGGAACCCCTGCATGTCAGTAAGTGTGCCTTCCCATCCAGCTGATTTGGCAACTTAATTCCTGCCCCCCACCCACCCCCCACACTATGTAGGAGCTACAGAAAGAGGAAAAACTTTAAGCATAGGCTTATGCGAGTTCTAGTCTAACCATCTAAAAGGCAACAGGATGCCCATTCTCGACATTGACATAGGATCTGATTTAGCCCTAAGATAAATGGAGAACTCCAGTTTCTAAGTCAAGAGATAGTCTTGAGCTTAGCACCTGTTTTAGAAGATGTAAGCAGGCCTTCCACCACCTCCCCTCCCACAGTCACCTGGTTGAGGTCATTCTCGTCAGGCTGGAAGCCACTCAGAAGGGTGATGTCAATGATGACCATGCCTGTGACATGAGCCCCTGGCTGCCTCCTGTGGGGGGAAGAAGAAGAAAAGATGCGTCTAGTATGGGCTTTGCCTGAAGAATGGCCAGCAGATTAATAAGGTTCATCAGGTGACTATCCAAATATCCCAAAGCCAAAATGAAGCCATGTCAAAGCCTTATGACCTTCAGCTCCTTAGGTAGAGCACCAGAGATAATTGCTCTGAAGCTGCTTTCCCCAGCCATTCTGTAGGTAGGGGCCACTTTTGCTGTGAAAACAGAACTGTTTGCTTTACTGAAGTAGCTTTGCATGTAGGAAGGAAGAATATGAGTCTGGATGCATACTGAGGTACTTTGCAATAGTGGGTGAGAGGAAGTTTATAACATCCATGGCAAGAGGAGGATTAGAGGAATTGATGTGTCACTAATCCAGACAATTTTGGGGGCCTGCAGAGCATCCCCTGGCCTACTAAACTTAGAAACAGAGCGAGTCAGAAGGGGCCACCTGGGCCATCTAGTCTGACCCCTGGATCCAGCCGGCTCCGCTCATGACATTCCTACCATGTGCATGTCCAGCCTATCTTTGAACACCCTCCCTGATGGGGCCTCAACCACCTCCTGTGGCAGCCCATTCCACACCCTTGGGGTCCTAAAAGAATCCATATAGCCACAGAAAGTGGGAGCATAAGCTTTGTTTTAGTTGCTTATATTCTGCATTCACCTTTCAGCCTTGCAGGGGTCATTATGGTCAAAACTGTATTTCATCTTTGACAGAGATGCTTTCATTTCTTCTTAAGCATCCTTGAATCTAAAGTGAAGTGCCCTGGCCAGACCAGACCCCTACAGTTAAAATAACATGAAAGAGAGAGGGAAAGGGAAGTATGGTGTTTGGCGCAGGAATGGGGAACCTGTGGCCTTCCAGATATTGTTGGACTACAATTCACATCATGACATGGTGGCTAGAACCATTGGGAGTTGGAGTCTAGCATCACTGGAAGAGCCACAGGCTGCCTGCCCCACGTCCAAGTGTTGAACTGGGGAGTCCAGGATTCAAAGCTAATTGGGCGACTTTTTGCCAGCTGCTTGCCTAGTCTCCTTGCAGGCTTCTGCTGAGGCTTTAGGAGAGGGATTCGTAGTCCTGTATTCCTCAGGGAGGTATAAACACACAGTAGTGAAAAGGAGCAGGCTATGAACATCTGTAACTTTTCACACAGCATGGGAGAGATAATAAGTCAGTGCACTTTTTTCTCTCCCACTGCCCCTGGGAAGCTAACTTTTAATAGCTGAAAGGAAATAGCAATCTGAAAAGATGATTTTAGAGGAAGTTCTGCCCATTAAACGATGCCAAACAGGAAATGGCCCATCTGATGCCAAAATTTTGTTCCTCTCGAACTCACCAGAAACAGACATTGTAGGATACATCTCGCCGTGGCTCTCCAGGGTCTTTGACCTCCCTCCGCCGGCGTTGCCGGGCATCAAACAATCCGATGGATGATAATGGCTGGTCAGCAGGCTGTGCTGCAGGTCCACCTCCACCATCATATTCATATTCATAGTAATAGTCATCTGCGCCAACTATTGTGAGACAGAAAAAGAAAGAAAAATGGCAGGGACTCTAGCAATTGTGTGCTGAACATATTTTATCAAGTTCTCTCCTTTCCCCCTGCAAGGCTGCCAAACTTTCTGGACCTTTCCAAAGGAGCTGCCACAGAATGGGAGACTGGTGGCAATTGCCCCCCTCTTTTTCCATCAGAGTTGCAAAGAGGCATCTCCTCCCCAGCCCTGACTTACTATCACGTTGAACGGAGCCACTCACTGTCACCTCTAAGCCAAGGGTTTGGCATGAAGTGTTTTGCATGGTCAAGACATAATACTGCTTCAGGACCTACGGGGAACAGAAAACAAAGGCCAGAGGCCTCCTTAGTCGTGCAGTTACAAGAGGAGTAGGAGAACTTAATCCTGTGCCATATTATTCTATCACTAACTCACAAATATTAATTAAGCAAGTCAGGAAGTCTGCAAAAGCCTGCAGAATTTGGAGCGTAAGTGCAGAGAAGGGAGGGTAAAGAATGGGGCAGTTAGCCAGGATGACTATATATTGCCACCAGTATGTACATGAGCTGCTGGGGAGCATGGGTGGGAGAATGCCCATGCCCTATGTGTGGGTTTCCCAGAGGTAGCTGGTCAGCCACTCTGGGATCAGCATGCTGGGCTAGATGGGCCTTTGGTCTCACCCAGTGCAGCTCAGAAGAAGTTGTTGAGCTGTAATAGCAGAGCAGGGCCTGGATCAGTGAGACCTGGTTCAAATCGCTGCACAGCCACAGATCTCACTGAGGGAGCTTTGGACAGCCACTCTCCCTATGCCAAGCCTCACTCACAGGGTCATTATGTGGGTGGGTGTGGGGAAGACAACCTGTTGTGCCATCCTGAATCCGTACAAACAAGTGAGAGGAAGAAGCTGTGGTTTTAAAGCTTTAAAAAACTGCAGGAAGATACTCACAGTCAAAATTCCTTTCCCTTTTCCTTGCACGCTTACACCAATGGTACTTCCCAAGGGAAACTAAAAGAAGAAAACAAGGTGCAAGTGAGTAACCTGTCCAGAGCATGCAGTATATCAATATGGAAACTTTGATGGAAGTCCCTGGCCAGTTTGGGAGGCGAGGGATGAAATGGTCCTTACTCTCTTTGGAACATCCCCTGAGCCATTCTTTCTCCATCAACAACTAGGGCACTGCTAGGTCTCGGCCACAGCTCTGAATATATTCCCCAGAGCACTAAGTTTCCCTTGATACAAGTGGGGGGGGATTCTCAGTGTATTACCATGTGGGGACATGGGGGAGGGATTTGGATAGGGATTGCAGCTGGGGTGGGATGGATATATCCTCTCTGCCCCACATGCCGCCATGCCTCTTTAACAAATCCCCCTGCAATTCTTTAAAAAAAATCTAATTGGTGCCAACAGAGGTGGGATTTTTAAAATTTAACTGCCAGGTTCGAGGGTGGGATTTGGATAGAAATAACAGTTGGTTAAACAAAGAGTTACCCCTTCCTAAAAGCCCCCTATGTGACATTTAAATTTGGGAACAAAACCCCTTTCTGTCGGTGTCAATTGGAAGATTGGGCCAAGCATTTTAAGAAAGAACAGCATGGTTAATAGAGATGGTGGATGTTGTAGTTCCAAACCTCTGGCGGGTACGGGGCTGGGGTAGGCTGCCTGTATGCATATCAATAGATGACAGCAACCCAAATACTCAAGTTTCTTTCTTTAAAAAACACACAAGTTTTTGTCTTTATGGTCAAAGTTGTGTATCTGCTGTATTAAAATAATGCATGCTATTTTGAGGTAACAAAATTCTGCACAAGGAAAAGCTTAATTCTATCACCTGAATAAGATAGAAACAAAGAAACACAGTGAATCAGAAGGGGCCTTCTGGGCCATCTAATAAACTTGCTCTTAAGAAATAATAACTGATTAAAAGCACTGAATAAGAAAAACAAGTTAAACTTTTAAGTAGAAAGCTTGCCAGTGAACTTTTAAAAGGCTGACTGGAACTTACTCAAGAGTAGACATCACGGAATGGTTCGGGTGAAGCATCATTGCTGGATAGTACTGTGCTCTGTTAAGCACTGGCATGCAAACTCCATTTTACATGCACACAGCCTTAAACCAGAGCAGGCAAATCTAGTGCTCCGCAAATGTTTTAGACTGTAATTCCCATATGTCCTGATTACTGGCCACGTGGATTGGAGCTGCAGTCCCAAGCATCTGACAGGAACCAAGTTGCCCAAAAATGGTGGATGGGAAACCAACCAACTAGAAACACCCAGAGACCAGAAAGTGCAATGGGCAAGTTACATTCATGTACCTGAAGCTCCTTCTGGACTGGATCATTAGACCTTCCAAATGAAAGAAACACAGGCAAGCTTTTGCCAGGGAGATTGAGGGTCACCTCCAGTTCATTGCCTTCTTCTTTGAAGGTGCTGATCCAATAATTTGACAAAGCTTCCAAAGCCACAACAGTGTCCTGAAAAGAGGGGTCAGCAGACAAGTCAGAAGTTTGATCAGTTCCAAAACTGTGAGAGAGAAGCCCAGACGGCACTTGCTTCTCCCTGTAATGCGGGATGGGGGTACTGGAGAGGAGACATTTGCTATACACCCATCATTTTCTGCTTATGGTCTTTTATGGGTCCTTCAGATGATGTCAGGACCCTCTGTTGTAAAAAGCAGTTCCATGAGATTTTATTTTAGGTCACCTGGTCACAAACTTCATCACAAGTGACCTTTAACCCTTTTGGTGCTCTGTGGCTGCTGGAGATGCCATTACAAAAATTGGTGTTGCCTATGGGGAGACTTCTGGAGGACAAAAATGGCCCCTAGACCAAGTCAAAGATGCCCACCCATGTTGTAAACAAACCAACATGCACAGTTTGACAGCCATAAATAAACGCCCCCAAATCCTAATCTCTTCCCACTGGCCCTTCTCAAACCCCACAGCAATGCCACTTTCCCAAAAGTCAGGTGGTTATATCAGATGGTACCTGGGTGGATTTGAACCCGCCACCATAATTCCTCTGCTCTGTTAGCCACCGAGAGACCTGGCCAGCAGTTGTGATGTCATCTTGCTTCACCAAGTACAGAAGCGCATAGCTTGTGGCCTCCACTGAAATAGCTGAAGCTGAAGGCACCCGGTTAGAGGTTTCCCCCCGCAGTCGGTCCTGCTCCTCTACAGCCCAGAACAGCACCGTTTTGTCTGGAAGCATGAGGATGAGAGAAAAGAGGATGTTGGCTCAAACAGACATGGTGCAAGAGCTCTGTGATAAGCATATCATGCTTTTAAAAAATAGCAATTTTATGGATTCAGTTATTCGGATCAGGGACATGGGCCCAGAGGGATGGGGGTCCACCATTATCCCTGCAGCATTTCCTCTGCCTAACCTCACTGCATCACCTAGACCTGTTTTTTGTTTTGAGAAGAAAATGATATGGGTTTCTCCTATGCAAGATTTCAAAATGATGTAGAAAGAGTGCTCACAGGGAGAATTCAGTGTTTGGAAACAGTAACCCCCATCATGTCTCTCTTCTTCTCTCTTCCCCTCTCCTTTTCAAGGTGAGAGGGTTTTACATGCAGTCCTTTACTGAATTAGGCTGACTTTGTAATAGAGAGTGAATAACATAAAAGCCATTAAGCAAGAAACATCCATCAAGTTAACAGTCCCTCTAATTGCCAAGTTAGTTCTTGCCCATAGCAAGAGTTGATTCCAAACTGAATTTCCTTCTTTCTTTTACCACCAAATGGAGTTGGCACCACCCTCAGGGAGGTCCACGCTGCTTGTGAGCCAGACAGTGAGAATGTCAGACATTACTTAAGTGGTCCACTCACTTGACCTGATGAACCACTGCCTTGATAAATTCAGCCCCTCCTCCTCTGACCTTCCCTGTTCTAGGGTGCCCCCCCCGCAAAAAAAATAAAAATAAAAATAAAACTGGACTAGAGGCAATCTAGATCTCACCAACAGCTTGGCTCATTGCAGAGCTCATTAACCTTGGCATTTCTCCTAAGCAGTCTGATCCTACCTTTCTCCTAGTTCAGATCCCGAGCCTGAAATCTCTATCTTAGAATGCTTTATTTTGGAAGAATTGGGCCAAATCCTTACAAGAGCAAAGGAAAGGGCAACGTGCTGCCCTGTTCCCTTCTTCACTCCAATTTTCCCCTCTCCAAGGTGGCTTTTCCAATTTATAACCAGTCATCAGGCCACCATGAGCATTTCTCATTGTAGAGCACCAGGCTAAAAACATGACAGCAATCAGGACATGGTTCTATTTTGTAGGTGACCTGTGCTCTCTCCTGTCCTGCTGATCTGTACAACACAGCTGAGGGGTTTGGCTGGGAAGGTTATGCGTGCGTGCATGTTCACACCCATTGCAGCATACAGCCCTAGGGAGCTGTCCCTTGGACTAAAAAGATCTTTCCACCTCTGGTATAATGCATAATTTGGCCCTGTTTCCACTTCCAGCCCCTTGACCAGGGACCCACTCATTAAGCCCTACCCTTGCACAGGTTAAATACAGGAGATTCCCAGTCCCAGGAATTAAACAGAGCTTAATGAGGAGAAAGAGTGAGTACTTTGATCCTGTGAGGCGAGGTCCTTCAGGCGGGTACCAGCAGCAATAATGGCCGACTGATCAGAAGAAGCAAGCGAAAGGGCATAACTAGTGATCGCGATGGGGTAAGAACCCAGGGATAGATCATTCATTTTGCCAGCAAGGAAAGCAGTAGCCCGATCCAGGCTGTTTCTCTGTAAGAGGAAGAAACGGAATCAGAACCAGTTAGGGAGACCTCTAGCCCCTTCCTTATAGCCTTCTGTTGTTCACTTTAGCCTTCGCTGTTTCCCTTCCTTGTTCCCTTGGTGCCATTATATGAAGACAGGAAAGGAAAAAAAAGGCTGCCTACAAGGGAGATGGGTATGGCTGAAGCTTGCTTCATGCTACCCAACCAAAGACTCAGCTGCTGTTGAGCAAGACTGGTGCAGCTGCATCTTGCATTTACCAGTCTGCATTGGGAAGTGGATTGTTCTAGATCAGGAAAGATAACATGCCTGGGCATCTTCCCTGGTGCCAGAGACTCCCTCTCCCTCTCACTGTGTGTGTGTGTGTGTGTGTGTGGGTGGGTGAGATTGAGAGAGAGAGAGAGAGAGAGAGAGAGAGAGAGAGAGAGAGAGAGCGCGCGCGCGCGCGCGCGCGCGCGAGAGAGAGAGAATGACCGACTGACTGACTGACTGTAGGTGATAAGTCAGAATGAGAGTAAAAAAGATACAGGTGGGGATGAGTTGGCTAGTAGGAGGGAGAGGGAAAAAAAGTTTATCTTGTACCAAAAAATATAGGATTTTGTTAGTACTAAAAACTTTAGGTTCAAAGTCAGTGTTTAGTGTGTTGGACTCAGTTTCCCCCACCCCACCGAGCATCATACTCAAGTCTCTGGGGCTAGTTGTCCTTTGCTACACTTCCCACAACAGTCATTTTGTAGTGGTGTCCTGGACACATTTTCAAATTGTCAAACATGGCTATGGGCTAAAAAAAAGTTACCTAGTCCTGGTCTAGTTGATCTTCATGGTCCCTTCCAACTCTGTAATTTTATGGCTCTATGAATCAGAGGAAGGACATCCTCTTCTGTGTAGATCAAAGCTGTTTAGCATTCACTGGGACCCTGACCTGCCTAACGGGTCTCAAAGCAGGGACTTTCAACACACTTGGCCACTGTGCTGTATCAGCTCCAATGTTATTCACAGACATGTGTTTATGCATGCTTTCCTCAACTTGCCCCTCTCTAGGTGGTTTGGAGTGCAACTCCCTGCATCGTCCCTGGCCCTTGGCTATGCTGGCTGGGGATGGTGAAAGTTGGAGCCCAAACAGTAGGAAGGCATCAGGTTAGGGAAGGCAGCTTTGATGTCTTTTCTCACAGAAGCCAATACCTTACAGTAAAATCCTCCTGGATCAGTCATAAGCGCTAGTAACTTGTGTGTTTTGAAAGAGAAAAGTGGAAATCTTCATCACAGAGGGTTTCATGCTCCACCTATAGATGCCTCCACTTGTGAAGGGTGGTGGCTGAATGTTAAAGGTTGGCTTATGCCCCCTTCCCTTGCTTCATACCACTTGACTCAGCTGCTGCTGCATCTCTGCATCTCCGCCTGAATATGCAACCATGGCTTCCTTGATTGCGATGGTGACAAATGCTGTGAGTGAGATTCCCCCATGCAGGCCGCCAACACCGCCCTGCAGGAGAAAGAACAAGACGTGTGTTCATGGAACGGGACTGTGACGAGGAACTGGAGGAGTCAGCAGCCATGTACCCCTGAATGGGGCAGGATGCCAAGGCAGGAGTGCAGATCTGCCACGGCAGTTGCAAAAGGCCTCACCTGCATCTCCCGGTGATAGACAGGGGCTGGGTCTTTGAATGAACCATCTGACTCTTGCTTTCGCAGCAGCCACTGCACAGTTTCACGAATCTTGGAGTCCTCCACAGCATGGTACTCACGGCTCAGAGACAGAACTTTCACCACAAAAGCTGTCAGCCTAAAGAAAGAGCGAGCAGAGTGGCAGGTGACTCAGCAGGTGGGTGCTCAGACTGGGTGTGTGTCAAAGGCAACCTTCTCCAACCTGGCATCTGCCAAATGGTGATGATGAGTTTATTTCTATACCGCCCAAGAGCCAAAGCATCTGGGCAATGTATAACATCTACACATAAAATACAATATAAAATGCATAAAACAATAAAAACACCATCAAATGTTTCTATACAAAATTTAAAAACCAAATTTAAAAACAATGCAAAAAGCTACAATAGCTTACACAAGTTACATCACAGCACCTGTTTAAGCAGCTCACATAAGCCCCAATTTAATCATAAACTAATTAAATACCCTGTCTTAACTTGGTGGGGAAAGATGCTACTGTTGCCACCAGACAGGCCTTGATGAGGACTTTGTTCCATAACTGGGGGGACCATTACTTTCTCCTTGTTGCCCACTTGGAGGTCGCAATTATAAGTAGGACCCAGATCTTGATTGTTGTAGTCCAGATGAGTTGGACTAGGACTCCCATCTTCTCTCAGTCCATACTGCCAATGGCCATTGGTGATTTGAACAAACTGCACATTCTTCCAGGAAGAGGAAGGGGAGACAAGTGGTGGGACCACTAAATAAGGAGGAAGGAGATCCAGTGACTGATATGAGGGAACAGTCACAGATGCTGAATGACTATTTTGCCTCTGTGTTCTCCCCAAAGCAGGATGGGGGATATCCACATAGGAGATTAGATGAGGCTGGGGACTTAGGGGCACAGATTAGAGTCACCCCCCTTGAAGTCGAGGGGCTCCTCAGGGCATTGGACATTACAAAGGCGCCAGGCCCTGACGGGTTACACCCGAGAGTACTTAGAGAGTTGGCAGGGGTTCTCTCATGCCCGCTGGCCTCCATTTTTGAGACCTCGTGGAGAACGGGTGAAGTTCCAGAGGACTGGAGGGTGGCATCAGTGGTCCCAATTTTCAAAAAGGGTAGTAGAAAGGACATGGGGAATTATAGACTGGTTAGCCTTACATCCATTGTAGGAAAAACAATGGAAAGGCTCATAATAGAGAGAGATCTAGTGATGCTAGATAGGGAAGGGAGGCTGACAGCCACACAACACGGCTTCCGCAAAAACAGGTCCTGCCAGACAACCCTTGTGGAATTCTATGACAAAGTTTCGAGATGGCTAGATGGAGGGGATGCAGTGGATGTGGTATACCTGGATTTCAGCAAGGCCTTTGACAAAGTGCCCCATGATATCCTGGTGGAGAAACTGAGGAGTTTTGGGATACACCAAAGCACTGTCCAGTGGATTAGGGCATGGTTGACTGACCAAAAGCAGAAGGTAACCATTAGTGGGGAATCATCGGGATGGTGGCCAGTGACAAGCGGGGTCCCCCAGGGCTCTGTCCTGGGACCGATCCTGTTTAATCTTTTCATTAACGACATGGAAGAAGGAGTGAACAGTCTGCTGATCAAATTCGCAGACGACACTAAAACTGGAGCAGTGGCCACAACTGAGGAGCAGGTACTCCAGATCCAAAAGGTTCTGGACAGACTATGGAAGTGGGCAGGAGACAACAGGATGGCGTTCAATGTGGATAAGTGTAAGGTCTTGCACTTGGGGCATAGGAATAGCTGTCATAAGTACAGGTTAGGTGATAAGTGGCTGGAGAGCAGCGCTTGTGAAAGGGACCTCGGGGTACTGGTTGACTGCAGGCTAAACATGAGTCAGCAGTGTGATGCGGTGGTCAAGAGGGCGAACGCCACCCTTGGTTGCATAGCCAGAAGTGTGGCTTCTAGATCAAGAGAGGTATTACTACCACTCTACACGACTCTAGTGCGCCCGCAACTGGAGTATTGTGTTCAGTTTTGGGCCCCTCATTACAGAAAGGATATAGCCAGGTTGGAGTCAGTGCAGCGTAGGGCCACAAGGTTGGTGGCCGGTTTGCAGGGGATGCCGTATGAGGCGAGACTGAGGGAACTGGGCCTCTTCAGCCTGGAGAAGAGGAGACTCAGAGGGGATATGTTGGCGACATACAGGTATGTGAGGGGATGTCACATGGAGATGGGTAGAGACCTGTTTTCCCCTGCAGAGGAAGGCAGGACACGCTCCAATGGAGCAAAGCTCAGGGAGCCAAGGTTCCATTTGGATGCCAGGAAGCACTTCCTGACAGTCAGGACCCCGAGGGTATGGAATGGGCTTCCACGAGAGGTCGTTGAGGCCCCATCAGTGAGGGTGTTTAAGGATAGGCTGGACATGCACATGGTGGGCATGTTGTGAGCGGAGCCAGCTGGTGCCGGAGGTCAGACTAGATGGCCCAGGAGACCCCCTTCTGACTCACTCTGTTTCTATGTTTCTATCTCATCCTAATCATTATAGAGGGCAACCACTGAGAGCAAATCAGCCAGTCTCCCTTACAGAAGGGAAGCACTTGGCAATTTTGCTAGAACCATTAAGACAATCTGCACCCAGTCTCCCTGGTTCTGTTAACCCTCTCTTGCCCAGCCCTCAAGCTCGCAACCCATCCTTTATCTCCACCTTCCTCTGATAAGGATGAACTGAGCTTCATTTTAGGCACTCAAACCACCCGCCACTATTTCCTCAAGTTGTGTCCAATGCAGGTCCTCAGAGTAGCCCCACTGCAATTGATGGGACTGAAGTTAGACTAATGCACATATGGGTGCCTTACTTGTAAACAAGCAAAAAGCTGGAGAGGAGGAGTCTGCTAAGGGCCCCACTCCCCAAGATTTTCAGTGGGACCCTCCCATTCTTCCCGTTGCTCATGCAAACTCCCTCCCAGTGCTGGGACTCACCAAGTACTGCTGGGGCGGCTGAGCCAAGCACCGTAGGACCCATCCTCTTTCCGGAAAGTGAGTATCCGCTCATAACCTGTGACACAAAAGACAAGGGAGAGACTGGCAATCATGCCTTTTTGGGATCACCATTTTTGTCACCTGGGAGGAGAGGAAGAAGCAGGCTGGCTTTTGTGCTGGCCTGGCACAAGGCAGGAGCTTGTGAGGCTTTTGTAAAGGATGGGATAAAAATGCTCCAAATAAATACATAAATAATAAGAGCTGGAGGCAGGGGAGCTGCTAATCAATGGACAATGGAGCAGAGGAACCAGGGTTCCCAGGGAGGCAGCACCATTTCTTTTTAAACTGGGAACCTGGCACGCCCCTCAGAAGTCCCTGTTCTCTCTGAGCTTGGCTGCAATCTCTGCAGTTGGGATGGGGAATGCACTCAGTTTTTTCCTAAGAAGGCAAGTTAATCAGGAGATGCCTTGGTGCCTCTTGCATCCTGGCAGACATGCCACACACCTGTGCGGAGGTTCTCCAGTGCCTTTTCCTTGCTCTCTGCTTTCAAACGCAGCCACTGCTCAGTCTTGTCCAAGTAGCGCATGGCGTAGATCCCAGGAGCCATCAGAATCATGGTTTGCTCTCCACATCCCCGTGGGACCCGCAGCAGTGAAGACAGGCCGTCTGGTGTCAGAGAGCTCTCCAAGGTGTCTGTGGGCACCGATCCTGCACCCGGGTGAAAGAACGGATCAGAAGTCTGCTTGGGTTGGGAATGGTACTGGAGGATCAGGATGTATGAAGCCATTTCCCCTCCCCAATATTGCTTCTCTTTTTAATATTAGCATATCTGGACACAAATCTTCAACATAACATGTAATTCACAACCGTAGCATTAAAATAATGGCCTATTTATAAACAGTCTATTTTCCTTTCACAAACCAAAGGCAGCTTACATAATTCTCCTTGCAATTGTACCCTCACAACAACCCCGTGAGGTTGGCTAGAGGCAGTGATTGGCCCAGCGTCACCCTGTGAGTTTCATGGCCAAGTGGGGCCTAGAACTCAGATCTCCCAAGTTCCAGTCTACCACTCTAACCACTGTACCATACTTTAGGGAGGATCATCTGGGGGCCCCATGCAACAGATTCATCAGAAGGACCTGCCTCAAGCATAGCAGGGCTGGCTTGCCACATTTTGAAAGTAAATTAGTTGAAGTAAATTAGTTCATGCACACTATCATCCAACAAGACCATCTGAAGCAGCATCGCACAACATGGAAGAAGTGGAGAAAACATTTCAGAAATTGCATGGACTCATTATGACCAGAGTTTAAAACTACCCAACTGCACCACTGGCAGTTCGACATTTGAGCAAAAGATACTCGACAAATCTATACGTCCAGGCTTGTACAAATATCCCGTCTGGCTATAGATTTTATTTTATTGCATATTATGAATGATTTTTTAAAATTCTTTATATTCAGGGGATAGAAATGCTGCAAAATCATTGTAAGAATGAAGTCCTGAGTTTCTACATTTCTTACTTCTGTGAGCACTCCTACAGCTGTGTTGTGAACCACCCAGAGAGCTTTGACTACAGTAGTATAGAAATGTAATGTGGTGGTGCTGGTGGTGGTGGTGATGATGATGATGATAATAATATCCACAGCACCAAAAATAACCAAAATAAAAGTCTGGAGCAGGATCCAGTTTTACTCATACCCAATGAAATCAATAGATTTAAGTCAATCATGACTAACTTCAGTCCCATTAGTTTCAGTGGGTTTGCTTTAAATCTGAGTCAATCTGGATCCATCACCAATAACAGGTCACCAGATAAAGCAACACCCAGTTCAGAACTGCTCCGTGTCGCTGCGCTGCAGGCCCTCCCTGCCACTGCTCACAGGGGCATGTTCTGCTCAGTGACAGATGTGTGCTCAAGACACTGACATTTGGCCCCCTGGTTTCAGTTGAACAGTTGCAGACTTCCACATAGCAAATTTTAGTTTGGTAAGGGTGCAATCTTTTGCGTGTTTAGACAGAAAAAAGGCCTACAACTCAGAATTTGATAGAACATTTTTCTGTCCAAACATGCATAAGATTCCTCCCTAAAGGTACTGTGAATTCTCTGTTGGAGACCCATGGAATCTCCTTCATAGCATTAGTGCTGAAGAACGTTTGTGCCTTGAATTCCTGGTGCCCCTAGGCTCTTTCAGCTGTGCTTTTCTTACTTTTTTTCCCCTCAGAGTAAGCTATCCATCTAAGAAGATATGAGCTGAGAGGCTGTCTCAAGGTCTGCTCCCTGGTATAGGCAGGAGTGTCTCTACGATGGTCTAGGATGGCAAATGTGCTGCCGGACGGCCATTTACTAGAGCATTTATTCTAGCTTTGCAAAAACATGCAAACTTTCCCAGGCCATATGGCCAGGACAGAGGTGTAATTGTGAGTATAACAACATAAAAGTCCCAGAGACACCCCCAAGGTAGAAGCTTTAGACGAGCTGAAATCTGGGTGGTGCTGTGCACTCATCTCTTACTAGAGATGGTCACTGGTTTTAAGGCGGTTCCCAGTGGTTGTAGGGTCTTGTTTGTTTGTTTATTCACATATTTATATGCCACCTATAACTGCCAAAGGTCTTCCTAGGCGGCTTACAAGTCTTCAGCATAAGCACCTTGCTCTGCAGTTTGTTTGTTTATTTATTTATTTAGAACATTTCTATGCCGCCCCATTCGCAAAAAGCCTTGGGGAGGCTTACAAAATAAAAAACAATCATATAATTAACCTTAAAAGACCGGAAACATCTCGGCACAAGCATAAAAACCCAATAAGTACAATCAATAATTAACAATTAAAATAACATTTAAATAAAACGGTCTTGGCCTGGCACCGAAAAGCAAATACGGCGCCAGGCAGACCTCTCTGGGGAGCACATTCCATAGGTGGGGTGCCACCGCAGAGAAGGCCCTCCTCCAGGTACTCACCCTCCTAATATCATTCACGGAGGGTTCCCGGAGAAGGGCCTTTGCCGCCGATCTCAAGGGGTGGGAGGGCATATATGGACGCAAGCGCTCCTTTAGATAACCTTTAGTTTCTTGCTGTAATCATTGCCCTGTAATGTTTTGCTTTCTTCCTTTGTTTTTTCATGCTTATTAACAACCATTAGTCTTCACCCATGGTGTGTTCCTGGTTTCTGAATCCTAAAAAGAAACATTTGCCTCCTGGTCGCACATCATCACCCTGCCTCATTCACAGAATTCTACACACGATCCCCCCACCTCATTAGGAGAATTTTTAGTGAGGAGGCAGGGGAGAGACAGTCGTCTTACCGTTGGAATTCTCCCTGTTTTCCTACTGCTTCTCCTATTTTTTTTCCTTACAGAAAATCTGTTGGGAAAGACTGAATTGCTGCTCATATGCCTTTGAAGCCATAGCACCAGGAGCCATCCCCTTGGGAGATGCCTCAAGTCTTACAGTCCCCTCAGAATGGAATCATTTTTGGAGCATTAGCAGTAGAACACTGAAAGTTAAAACCAGAGCAGCATTTGAGGTTTCAGGGTCACTCTCACACCTGTCAACCGGACACTCATCTTGAAGTCACCATCAGGAATGGCATTGGTGGGCACCTCGCCTGAAATCTCCAGAGACCGGGATACTCCATCTGTGACAGAGAAAAAGAGAAAGAGAGAGAGAGGAGGACAAAGGTCCTTTCTGTTGCTAAAACACAACAGCCCTTCCAAATCATTTAGGAATCTTGGATTTGCTTCCTCCCCTTCTCCATCTACTCTAGTTGCTGGCACCAGAGACCATACCTGCTCCATCCTCAACCCAGAAATATCCAGCATCACCTTCCAAAAGCTTTTCCCTCAGAACTTCTTTTGGTCAAGCAGCTATCATCAAGTCCAGGAACCATACCCACAAGATATGTCTGGTGGCACAGATTCCCAGATCCTTAGCATTTTTTTTTTTTTTTTTTGCCAAACTCCTCCTTATGAAGCTTAAGATTGGGACCATTTCAGTTTAGGCAGAGGAAAGGATGTTGAGGATGAGCTTGATGGATTTATTTCTAAACTGCCACATAGATGAAGCTGGCAGAGATTTTAGAAATGTATAAATGACAGACAGAAAACCCCTTGACTACTGGCTACTATCCCATCTACCTGCTTTTAAAAAAAGTATTTGAAAAACCCACGGAGGGCCCATCTATTGATACATGCCTATTAAGGGAGGAGAACTGGAAACAGAACCTCCATACACAAAAGCAGTCTACCTCTGCACACTAGAGGCTGAGAAGGAGTCACATTAGGGGCTTGCACAGCCTCTACCCTGCCCTGGCTTACTGAGGACTTCCTAGGAGCATGACCAGGGGAATGTTCGACCTGAAAGACTGAGGCTATTTCTTATGCTCTAATTCACAATGCCGAGCTGATCCTAGACTTTGTGTCAGCAGTGGGGTGGAAGATGGCACCTCTCAGTTGCTCCACTGGTCGCCTGCAACGCCTGCCCTCGCTCTCTCCACAACTCCCTCGTTCCCAAGAGGAGCCCCTCAGAGCAAGCAAGGGCAGGGGGTGCTGGAGGCTGGCAGGGGGAAGGGAGAAAAGTTGGTAGCAGCAACAGCCGTGTGCCTCTTCCCCCTCTCTGTGGCAGCTCACACTCCCTTCCCTCCAGCATACAGGGATGGTAGGGAGAGATCTTGGGCCAGTCCTGAGGAGTGCAGTGAGATCTTTGCTCACATCTGCTGTTGGCTGCTGGGCAACTTGTGGTGCTCCTGATGTTGTTGAAGCACAACTTGCATCAGGCACAGCCATGATGGCAGATGATGGATGATGGGAGTTGCAGTCTTACATAGAGGACAAGTTGCTCAACCTCTGACCTATATGAAATCTAAGACAGAGAGTGGCACAGGGGAGCAACCAAGTTGCTTGAAGAAGAAACAGCTCCAGGGGGTTGAGCTAGAGAGTGAGGTCACATGTTGCAGGAAAAAGAAATCCCAATACCGCCAGCTTTTGGGGAGCTCTTGGGCAAAGTACCCCCAATAGACTCCCACATTCATTGAACCCCCTTCTCTGTCACAGTCCCAGCTGTTTTGCACCTCCTCTTCTTTCTGGACCTTGCTTATGCTTGAGTGCTGAGGAGGCAGGGAATCAGGCAGCAAATCAGCCATGGCTTTTGCAACTCCTCCTCCTGCCTATCGCAGAAAAGAGGCAGGAGAGCAAGGAGGCGCTGCATCTCCAGAAGGCAGGTACCCTTGACACTCACCCAGATCCCACCCACCTCTTACTCCAACTCATCGTCGTCATCATTGCCATCTGACGTGAGGGGATTCCTTCCTTCTAAACCTGGCTCTGAACTATGGGTATGTTTCAGCTGTATTTAATTTTTCTCTTTGTTAATTTTCTCTTTTTAATCTCCAAGATTTAAAAAAAGTTCTTTAAAACAAGAAGAAATAAGATATGTAGCATTCAAACACAGAAACAGAGTGAGTCATAAGGGCTCTCCTGGGACATCTAGTCTGACCCCCGGCTACAGCTGGCTCTGCTCACGACATGCCTACATGGGCGAATGCTGCAGTGCAGAGATGGGGGTGGGGGAGGTGCTAAAGTTCAGTGATTAGCGCTTGCACTGTGCTTCCCACCATCAGGAATTCATTTCAGTTCTCCCTTCACCACCGATGTCTTCTCCTTACCAATGTTATCCAGGGGGATCGTGAATTCCTCCACATGGACCGCGCCTTCTCTCTGTATTGGAGAAGAAACAGAACAGGTGGGTGCCGGGAAATGTCAGGGGCAACAGAAGAGCCAGGGTGGTCCTCAGGGAACAGGGGGCTGGACTTGACTGGAGGATTATCTCAGTTTGAAGAATCCCTGCTTAGCCATGAAGCCTCTTGGTTAAGCTTAGGCCAATCACATAGCCTCACTAATATCTTGTAGGGAAAAATGGGTTAATTCCATCAACCTGAGCTCCTGGGAGAAAGGGGAAGATATAGTTATTGAAGTAAAAATGTTACAGTTTGAGCACCTTTGCTCATGGTTTAGCCAATCCATTCTTCCTCCCACCAATGCCCTTTTCCAGGCTACTCCATTCCATTCCATTCCCCTCCCTCCCATTCACATTTCCTCCCCCTTCATAGCATCACAGAATGGCAGAGTTGGAAGGGGCCAAGAAGGGCATCGAGTCCACTCCCTGCTGGTGCAGGACACCAATTTACACCATCAGATGGCTGTCTTTAGTGTGGGAGAGCCCACAACCTCTCTAGGCAACTGGTTCCACTGTCATATTTCTTCTTAGCAAGGAAACTTTCCTGGCTATCTAGCCTGAATCTGGGTTGCTGCAACTTGAGTTGATTATTCCATGTGCTACAGTCAGGGATGAGCAAGAAGAGATCTTGTCCTTCTTGTGCGTGGGTAGTACCATTTTGACTTCATAAAAATGAGTGCTCAGAATTTGAGATTGGTATTAGTGCACAGATGCAATTAAATCATTAATCCAACGGACTAAAAGTGACAGGTTTCTGCAGCATCATACACAGCAGTAGCAAGACTGAGGCAATTGCAAAATGTTCAATCAACATGTAAATCAACTACTACACATCTTCAGCTCTGGTTCTGCCTTTAGGGTAAGGGACAAGACCCCGGGTGCGGGAGTGAGAAAATATTGGAGGAAGTGAGACCTTCTTACCTCCACCCTTAGTTTCTTGGAAACTTTGTCCCCTATCCCCCAGTCACCAATGGCAGCCACAGTGATGGGGATGTCACTTGCTCCCATGGGAACCAAAACAAAGGGAACTGGAACCGCTGAGTTCCCAGGAATCTCCACCTTCCGCTTCCGCTCTGGGCCTACAGTCGCTGGAGAACAGATGCCCTCAGCTGGTTCCAGATACACAGAGGCCTAAACAGGAAGAGAAGAAATGGAGCAGCAAGATTTAATCAGTTTAACAACTAGTAAATTTCTCAACTAAAGGTGTACTGCTTAATTTATAAATAGCTGTGTCCCAAAAGATCACAGGAAGCCAAAGTAAATTCTTTACCATTATCCCACAGAGTTGGGGTAAGAAGAGAAGCCAAACTGAGCAGCCAAAGGGGAAGAAGAACTTGTAGACTGCACTTACCTGGATTGGCGCAGACTGATAGTTGTACAGAACTGGACGAAGCTCTATCTGCTCAAACCGTTTCACTGAGTATGGCAGCCTGAGGGAAATGTGGAAGTCCTGGAAGACTCTAACCTGAAGTGGTTCTGAGATGCAGATGCCTGAGGGCATGAGAAGATGGGGAGGGAGAAAGTTTGTTGACTCTACTGTTCGCTTCCCAAAGCTATCTTGTGAACCCATCTCTGCCTCAACCCTGGAGGAGACAAACAATGGAAACATCACGCCTGCACTCCACCCACTGTACCCCTAGCTGGGCTCCTGCTGGTATTGCTGCCAGACCACTGGGTCCACCTTTGAAGCGAGGGGTTGGTCTCTGTTGGAAGAATCCCCACCTCAACATTCCCCCAATCCCATGGGCTGCAACTTCCCACTGTTCCCAGGTCTGCATCCCTGTCTGCCCTTGAGCAAATCTCCTTCACTGCCTCCCAGGACCTTGAGCCACCCCAGCTCCTCCCCAGTTGCACCACCCAACTCTGATTCACAACCACAATGGCGTGGTTAGCCTGTGTGAGTGCGCCTGAGGTTTGCTGGTACGCATGTGCATGACGATTGGGAGTGGTAGTCCAATGACATTTGGAGGGCCGTCCTTTTCTGAAGTCCACACAAGAGAAGGCAGCCCTAAAGATAAGTAAAGTCTGTGTGGGTTTGGTTCCTCAACAAGCAGACACAGGGCTCACCTCTCTGTGAAGACATGCTGACTGCCTGTATTTCCCAGGTGGTGATGGAGTCAGGAAGAATTATGCGTTCCCTGGGGGAGACAGGAATGAAACTGTTTTACCTGGTGAGGGCAGGAAGGAACCAATGGAACAGAGGAGAAAGCAGAGAAGGTGAGCATCAGGAGCTGGGCGGTCACTTGTGGTTCTGTCCTGTGACTGGCTGGAAGGTTCCTGGCAGTATTAATGCTTTCTTCGGCTTCAGTGTGCTTTGGCCCACACCAACAGCCCATTCGCTCCCCATGGTGTGGCAGCATTGGGAAGGCCAGGATTTGTCCTTCACACTGAGCTGATTCACAGGCATCTTCCTCCCACCACCAGGAGCTGCCTGTGCAGGCTTACAGGAAGGAAAAAAAGCTCCTGCTACGAGTGGGAAAATTGTTGACACATAGAGCACTACATGTCAGGGGAGAGGGGCAGGTACATACAGGGTGGGTGGGATTCTGCAAGCCCCTGCTTGTAATTTTGGGGGAGCTTTGAGACCTGCAAGTTTCTACTTGTAATCTGAAGTAGTACAGCTGAGGACCAAAACAGACATCTTTGTCTAGCCGCTCTTTCCCAGTTTCATTTTTTTTCATGAACAGGCACCAAAGGACTGATTTGGCTCTATCCCCCACGTTGTGGTCTAACCTGGATCAGGGCATTGTGCTTACACAAGAGCAAAAATGAAAACAGCACATCACTGCTGCAAAGCAGTTTCAGAGACATGCCCTGTTCTGTCCCATGTTGATCATGCTTAAGACTGCTGGGCCTTTCTGGGGCCATGGGAGTTCTTAGAAGCACCAGAAATCTGTCCTTTATCCAGACACTTGACTCACCAGTGGCTCTCCAGCATTTCTGGCAAGCGTCTTTCTCAGCACCGTTTGGAGAAACCAGAAGTGGGAGCTGAGATTGCCTGCATGCAAAGCAAGCACCCTAGTGAAGTGCCACATCTCTTCTGCCACCAGAGGACATTCTTTCGTGCCTGCCCTGGTGTGGCGTTTTTCCTTGTAGGCCCTGTTCTGGTGGCTTGAGATCCCTCCTCCAGTGTCATGCTCAGCCTTCTCCAGTCTGGCTCTTTCCCACGTGTTGAACAACTCCCACCATCCCCAGAAAGCATGGGGGCCACTGAGGGTTGTACACCAACACACCTGCAAGGCATGGGGGGAAGGTGGGGGTGGGGGGAATCCAGTCTAAGGCAGCTTGAAGCTCAGTGTCCGCCAAATGGAAGTGAAGGAAAGAATAACATTGGGAAGAAGAAAGAAAAGGAACACTGGGAAGGCTTCTCAGCCTACTCACGTGAGGATGTTATTGACCGTGTACGATTTCCAGAGCCAGCTCTCAGGGAAGACACTCCGAACTTGAATGAACTCATCATTAAACCAATCTTCGTCCTCTTCATCTTGAGCTACATGGAAAGAGGAGCATCTAGGTTGAAAGTTCCCTCTCTCCCAGAGATTTAGTTTGTTCAGGGTTCTATTTTCTGCAGATCAGACTTATTCTTTTGCGATTATAGAGGGGAATTACCATTTTACTGCCCACTCGTTTTATTGATTACTTTCTAAAATCCAATCCTTCCTCCAAGCAGTTCAGGGTAGTTTGCACAGTGTCCATCCCCACATTTAGCATCATGACCTACCTGAGAGTGGGTTAGGACAACTTTCCCTGACCTTGTGCCTCATTTGGAGTACTATGTCCCGTTCTAGGCACCACAGTTTAAGAAAGGTGCAGACCAGCTGGAAAGGGCTCAGAGGAGGGCAACAAGGGTGATCCAGGGACTGGAAACAAAACCTTATGAGGAAAAATTGAAAGAACTGGGTGTGTTTAGCCTCAAGAAGAGAACACCGAGGGTAGATATGATGGCACTCTACAAATACTTGAGAGGGTGTCACAAAGGATCTCTTCTTGATCATCCCAGAGTGCAGGACATGGAATAATGGGCTTCAGCGACAGAAATTCAGGTTCTGGATGGACATCAGGATTGTTAGAGCAGTACAGCAACAGAACCAATTAGTAAAGGAGGTTGTGAGCTCTCCCGCATTAGAGGCATCCAAGTTGCAAATGAACAGTCATCTGAGAAGGATGGTTTAACTGGTAGCCCTGCACTGAGCAAGGGGTTAGACCTGATGGCCTTCTTGGCCCCTTCCTACTCTACAATTCTATTTTTCTGTGATGATTTAAACTACAGTTCCCATCATTCCTGATCAATGGTGATGCTGGCTTAAGCTGATTAGAGTTGAAGTCCAAAACATCTGCAGAGCACCAAACTGGGGAAGCCTACAGTAGGCCAGTCAAAACTGCAGGCAGGCCTGGCAGAAGTGATGAGTCCAGTTCATGCCTCATTATTGTCAACTCAGTTTTCATAAATGCTTTTTGCAGCAGGTTGGAATCTTGCTTGACCTCCAGATGTTTTAGATTACAACTCCTGGCATTCCACAGCACTGGTGCCTGGACCTGACGGGAGGTGAATTCCAGAACATCCAGAGGGAAACAGGTTGGGAAAGGTTTGTTAGAATGAGTGTACACAACTGAGCTAAGGCTGTGAAGAGAGCTCCATGGCTGAACAAGGTCCTGAACCCAGGAAGTCCACACTGGGCTCACTATATTAGACTGGCATTAAAGAAAGGAGGGACGTCTTTCTATGAACTTGGGCCAGATCAAAGCATTTTACTGTCTCAGGCAAAGAACAAGGGGATTTCCTCATTTTGCTTTAAAGTAGAGCTGGCCCTGCTGCAGTCTGGACTGTGAACTCACAGGGTGGCCAAGAGGCTGAGTGGTAGAGCCCCATTCCAGTCTCAATGCACATGAGCAAATGGCCTTAGGAAGATGCTTGCTCTCAAGTTTATTCCTCCCGGCTGCAATATGCAGGCTGGAGGCTGATTAACTCAATAATAATATTTCACAAGTTACAGGAGTGTTATATTTAACAACTAAACCAGGCCTTAGTAATCTGGGATCTCAGACAGACCCAGAAGGTTCAAACAGATGCATTTGGTTGATTTATCTTTTCCACCCACCCAAAGGAGTCCACACAATTATTTATCTAACATACGAGCAGCTATTCTGGACTAGATCAAGGGTCCATCTGGTCCAGCATTGTTGACACAATGGCCAACCAGGTGCCCTCAGGAAGCCTATGGGAAGCACCAGAGTACAACAGCAGCACCCTCCTGCCTAAATTCCCCAGCAACTGGCATACATACACATACGGAAGGTAGCCTACAGCCATGAGGATTAGTAATCATTGACCACTGATGCACTATTAATTTGTCCAGTGTGCTTTTAAAGCCATCCACATTGTTGGTCATCATTACATTTGCAGAATTTAACTCTGCTCTGTGTGAGCAAGTGCTTCCTTTTATCTGTCCAGAATCTCACACCAGTCAGGTTCATAGGATGGCACGCCTGGGTCCAATTCACTTTCTCTGCACCGTGCATAATTCTGTACCTATCATGACTTCCTGTACTTCCCCTTTTTTCTAAGCTAAACAATCCCAGCTGTTGTAACCCTTCCTAGTAAGGGGGGTGCCCAGCTACTTGATCATTTCAGCTGCTCTTTTTCTAAGTCTATAACATCCTTTTTTTTAAGGTGCAGTGACACAGGATTTCAAATGTAGTCTCACCACAGAATTGTATAAGACGACAATGATCTTGGCAGTTTTATTTTTAAACCTTTTCTCAGTTATCCCCAACACATCTGCTACACACTAAGTCAACATTTTCACTGAGCGGTCCATGTTTCTGAGAAACTCACATGGAGGAAGTGAGTGCAATTAACAAGCTCCTGCTCTGGTTCCCCCACGACTCACACAACACAGACGTGCTGCCTCTGCTTCTAGAGGTACCATACAGCCAACAAGATGAGTAGCCTCATCCTTCTCCCACTCTAGTTCATAGAATCACAGAATCATAGAACTGTAGAGTTGGAAGGAGCCAAGAAGGCCACTGGGTCCAACCCGCTGCTGTTGCAGGACTCAGTTTACACCATCTCACTCAGATGTCCATCCAGTTTTTTTAATGTCTCTGGTGTGCAAGAGCTCATGACCTCTCTAGGTAACTGGTTTCACTGTTGTATTGCTCTGACAGTGCAGAAACTTTTCCTGATATCTAGCCTGAACCTGGGTTGTCACAACTTGACTTAATTATTCCATGTCCTACCACTCCGGTTTCAGCAAGAAGAGATCTCAACTCTCCTCTTTGTGATACCCTTTGAGGCCAGGGCGACTTATTTTATATTGTTATTTTTTGCATTTTAACTTAATATTTGTACTTTACAAACATTTAAATTTAATGTTATAATTTAATGTTTGTATTTTAACTTAATGTTGTAAGCCGCCCCGAGGCTTCTGCGAATGGGGCGGCATAAAAATGTTTTAATAAATAAATAAATAAATTTACGGAGGGATATCATGTTCCCCCTCAGTCTTCTCTTCTCAAGGCTGGACATCCCCAGTTTTCTCAGTCTCTCCTCACAGGGCAGTGTTTCCAAACCCTAGATAGAAAGCTTTGAAATGAATAAATCATTTTTGCTGCCCCCACTCTGGATCCTTTCTAATTTTTCTGCATCCTAAATCTTGGTGCATCACATTGTTGGTTCATATTTAGCATGTTGTCCACAGTAACTGCAAGGTTGGTTAAAGATCCATAGCTTGCAACAAGATCTCTACTCACTCCGCGCAACACTTTGGGAATTCCTGGATGTCCGTCGCAGGCTTTCAGCATGCTTGCAGCAGTCAAGGAAGGCATCGCGGCACTTCTGGGAGTCGGGACCCTGTATCCGTTTTGCACGGTTCTCACACCTCAAATGTTGGCGTAACAGCACCATGCCTCCTTGGCAGCACCGCTGAGACTCGGGGTCCTGGTACTTGGAAACTGGGGAGTGGGAAGGGAAGGACACAGGAAAGAGGGGAAGATTATGAAAAAGTAGCGGGTGTTTCTCCCTCCTGCTTCTGTGAGTTCAAGCCAAGCAAGGTGGAAAGAGAATGTTGTAGACATGCTGGGAGATGCTGCCTAGGAGAAACAACTTGCTATCAGGCCCAGTGTCAAGGGGAGGAATGGCTGGGCAGTGGGCAGCCAGAGCTAGCTCTGTCACTGTGCAGGCTGATGCACCTGCATCAGACAGCAGAGCAGGAAGAATTGCCCACTGCTACCTCCAGCAGGAGCTCCAGAATGCCCTGCCCTGTTTTTCCACTGTGGAATTTGCTGCCACAAGAAAGCAATTGGCAAGATACTCTAAAGCAGGGGTCAGCAACCTGCAGCTCCGGAGCTGCACGTGGCTCTTGAATCCCTCTGCTGTGGCTCTTTCGCTCAAAACATGCCAGCACAGGCTGGTTAAGTAAATTGCTGCATTCCTCTGCTATTGTGCAGGGAAAGAGTGGAGCAAGCTTCCTGCAGGCTCTCATGTAACTCAAACCCTGCTGAAAAGATTCTCTTTGTCCAAATGAAATCTCCTTCATCTGAATGTTAAAAGCTGCGCTTGGGACCTGTCACAATTCACAGCACTTGACTGTTTATCTGCTAATCAGTCACTAAAAGCACCTATATCTCTGGCACAGCCGATCTGGGAGCAGCACTGATTTACTGAGCTTCCCCCCCCCCCCGCCCCCCCCATAGGCCAACCATGGATAAATTGAAGAAAAGTTTCTGAAGAAAACTGAACGTTTAATGGTATGTGAGTAGATTCATTTGCTTTTACTGCTGACGAACTTATGGGGTTTGCTGTTTAATGCATGCAGCCCTTTAGCACTGACTTTGACTCTGCAGAAAGCTGTTCTCCTATTCAAAATATATGAAAGGAGTCCTACTAGTTTATAATGTAAGATTAAAAATAACAGTTTTTAGTGACTGAACAAGAGCTGCAGCTAAATCTTAATGAAGATATAGATCTACTTCCTTTTTTTTTTTTAGGAGTTCAAAATGTTTTTGTTGCATGCAGAAATAAAAATTTGTTTTCTCTGTAGCAGTTCATTGATTTCATAAATGCAACACACTATAGTTTTTTTATACATAGCGTACAGGTAAAAAACGATATATGCAGTGTTATCTTTCATTTCAGATGTCAAAAGGGCTTTGCGACTCCCGGTGTTTTCTTTTCTGTGGGAAACGGGTCCAAATGGCTCTTTGAGTGCTCAAGGTTGCCGACCCCTGCTCTAAAGCAACCTGCTCGGTAGTTACTAGCCACCGTTACCTCTTGCTGCTGGCAGCCCCCATGCCTTCCCATTATACCTGTCTGGCCAGCCAGCCAGCCAACCTGGCTAGCTACTCATTTCCGCCCACCTGGCAGCTCCAGCCTTGTGCTCCATCCACAGGGCTCCCACAAGAGGTTGGCTCATCTCGAATGGGGGTTGCACAGCAAGGGCACACAGTGAGAGCGGCCAGGCAAGCAGGAGCAAGGGGCGGAGTGACTGACCAGCTGGGCAAGCCAGTCAGCCGGCCAGGGAAGTGGACAGGTAGGCAGGAAGGTGCATGGGTCCAGGCCTGCAGGGGCTCCGTGGCAAGAGATCCCTGGAGTTGCTCCTTTGCCAGACCCTCGCAACCCACCTCTCGCTCTAAGCAACAAGGATGGCCGGAAGGAGCAGCAAGGAGAACGTGCCACAGCTCACTTCTTTCCTAAGTCACTGTTTGTCAAGAGAGAAGGTGGTAGCAGTGATCAGAAAGCGACTGAGGAAGAAATGCAGCAGGGGAACATGGTGGTGAGAAGGCCGGCTGAGCCAAGGCTTTCAGAGACTGAGAAAGTCCTGCCCAAGGGCCCGCAGAAGCATGGCGCTGGCATCACTGGGCATGTCTTGTGTCTGTTGTGCTTTGGGGCACAAGACCTTTTTTCCTTGATGCTGCAAGTGCTTTCTGAAGATGACTCTACCTAGTGCTACCATAGGGAAGGGAAAAAGCATAGCATAGGGAAGGGAAAAAATTGTAATTGCGCAGCAAGAACACCCATGAGGGTGATGGGTGGGAGGCAACACCATCTGGACTCCTGTAGAATTCCACAAATGAGACAGAGTAATGGCACAACTCTGGGAGCTCACTTGGTGAGGGATTTGGAGCTATTTCCATCTCCAACCCACAATGCCCCTGACAGGTTCAATATGAGGCAATATAGGAATCTGAAGAAGTAGCTCCCAGGGGGACATGGTAAGAGCAAATTAAAATATTGGCTCCAATCCACTCAGGGCATCCAGGACAGGCCTCAGCACAGGGGTGGGCCCTGGGCCCTTGGCACACCTGGCCAAACTGTTCATGCTGGGTTCTGGAGCAGATGCCAATCTTTCCCCTGCCCCTTAGCACGACCTCTCATCCTTCCTCTTCCTCACACCACTTACGCTTTTTCTGGAGCTCAAGGTGTAACTGCAAGGAGCGCTTCTTCCGGGAAGCAACCTCACTGCATCCATGAGCTGTAAAAAGCAAAGCAAACATGAGCATGGCATGTTAAACTATAGGACCCTGTTGTTCTACATAAATTATCATGGGGGTTGCAGGGGAAACAGCACATGCAATTACATCTCTTTGGAAATTAATATGGCTGCTCTACACCATCGGTAGAGGTTTGGACCTGGGGGCCAAACCTGTCCCTACTGGAATCCTAATCCATGCCAGTGGCCATGTCAGTCTCCTGGCTCCTCCTCTTCTTTGACCACCAACCGTTTGGAGCCTTCCTGGATTTTCTACAGGTTTTCCCCATTCTACAGCCTGAAATCCTTTCCTAAGCCTTAGTTACTGACAGTAAGAGAGGTATCCTGTATCTTTTGGTCCTATGCAGCACTAAAATGGGGTTCCCTTCAGGATTCACAAAAGCAAATTCTTACTCATGCTTTTGCACCACCGCTTTAGACAATACCAGGATGCAAGAAGCTACAGGGCTGGCACTCTGTTCGTGTTGGAGTCTTGGGCATAAATACATTTGCAGAAGCTCACCTATACGGAGAGGGCTTCTCAGTTCCCCGGAACGAATGGAAAGTCCAGCATCGGCAAAAACACTGAGGGTGTCTTTTCCACTGCCAGCTGTGCAGCCGAGGTCATAACTTCCCATGGCCTGGAAAACCTTTTCCAGAAAGTCAAAGAAAAAAGAAGGTTATGGGCAGCACCATTAAATGCTGAAGTGGAAGGGCTTGTCATGATTGTCCCTGCAGATGCCTTCCCAAGGAAGGTCCAAAAACGCAGGGAGCTGCCTGATCTGTAACAAACATTTCTAGCAAATTTCATCCCCACCCGGTGCAAATAGGCCAGCTACCTATTCAAGGACAGCTACCCCAAAATAGCAGCAGCAAAGGTTGCTAAGCAACTTCACCCCCACCAAGTGACTTTGAGGATTGCCCAAAAAGAGCAAGGAATTCTGAGGGGGATGGCACAGAATGTCAGTATCCCTGCAAATCAAAAAATGTCAAGCTGCACCATGGAAGAGTAGATGTCAGGAGCTCTAGCCCCACTGCACCATGGAAGAGTAGAAGGGCAACACTGAGAGATACACAGGAAAAGATGCGGGGAAAGCTGACTGAAAATGCCTGGCCATCAGGTTCATTTTAAGAGCTCGCTTGAGTGCGTGTGCTTCACTAGGTAGGTTGGCACATTTTCATGGACTTTTCATAAAGGGGCAGCAGAGGCTTGGATCCAGGTGCAGCTCCAGACTTTTTGCTGTTTGCTGCAGAGCAGTCAATGGCTCCCACTAAATGTCCAGGCCAAGGTGCACCGTGACCAAGTAACAATTTTGTGCTGCTACCTGAAGCAGAAAAGTCCTTCCTCCTTTCCTGGTGATATGTGGCAATAATACAATATTAAATACAGTACATAAAAATAAAACAATAAATGCATGAGATAAAGCTGCCCTTTCACGACAGCTCTGCTCAGATGCCAGAGGCAGCCACCTTGCTCCACCTAATGGCAGTGCTGGCCCTGCTTCAACTATAACTGGACATCCACCAATCAAGGCCTGCTTCCATTCACTGAGGGGGCCAAGTTCCAGTGCTGGGATGGGGAATGTCTTTCCTCTTGAGGGCCGAATTCCCTTTTGGAGAAGCTGCATTCCCCTGCATCCCATTGGCAGAAGGAGTGGCATCAAATACCAGTCTATTGTGCCAGCATTAACATTTAAAGCCCTTAACTGTCTGGGACCAAGTTGTCTGAAGGATCACCTTCTTCCACACAGGCCTACTCAAACTCTGGGAACCTCAGTGGAGGTTCCTCTTGGAGAGCCCCTCCAAAGGAAGCAAGCAGAGTGGCTACTGGCAGAGGGTTTTGTCAGTGGTGGTTCCCCAAAGAAGCATGCCTGGCACCCACTCTGTATTCCTTCTGGCACCAGATGAAACCCTTTTTATTTTCCCAATATTGTAATAGATTTTTATCCCCATTTTTACTATACTTGATTACTGTGCCTCTAAGACTGATTTAGCTGTGGTTGTGGTGGGCCATCATTGTTTTATTGTATTATTGTATTTATATTATTGTATTGTTGGTGATTTTGTGATGACTGTTTTATTGTACAATAAATTATACAAACATAAAACAAGCAATATTCTTCTTTGCTCTTGTAGAATCTGGAGCAACTGCATGAAAATGAGGAAATGAACAACTGATCAGCAGTTGGGGCAAAGGAGGTATGACCATCCGGGGGAATCCTGATGAGCCAAACTGGACCCCAAGAGGGCTCGACTTAACCCACTGGCCTGAGGTTCCCTGCCTCTGATCTAGCAAATCCAGGTTCACTGCTGCTAACATGGGAGTCCAGGCTCCCAGTGTGGAGTTCTTTCAGGGGTGCAAAATTCGAGCAAATGGGTTCCAGGAGCCCTGGATCAAGGTCCCCTGATCTGATGTGTTCTGGCTTAGGCCTGATCATGATGGTATGACCCAGGGTTAATGTCTAGTACCTCTGCTTCTGGTGCTGCCAGTTAAATGGGTCTAGCCAGCCCATGCACAAAGATGGACAAACCCGTTCATTTCCATCTCCCTCTTTTTCTCATTATTTCATTCATAGCTTCAGTTTGTCTTAAACATTAACAATTGCTCCACTCGTACATTGGTTCATCCTTAAATTTGAGACGTTTGTTTTCATGAAAATTTATAAGACTGTGTGTGCATTTCTCCTAATACTTGGTGTATGTTTCGCCTAGAATAGACTTTTTTTGTAATGCATTTTATTATTATTTCCTCTAAATATGTTTTGTGTGTATATGCTTATTAGAATACTCCACTGCAACAGTCGGAAAAGTGTAGATTTGGAGCTTTGTTTGCATAGCCTAGTCCCCTCCAGGGGTGTTGGACTGCAACTCCCATGGCCATGCTTCATGGGAATGATGAGAATTGCAGTCCGACACATCTAAGAGGCACAAGGTTGCAAAGTGGGGCACATGCTTTCCAAAAATGTTCCAAAAAGTATACTAAAATGTGCACTTTAAAAAAAGACAAACCTTAAGAAATGCATTTTTATTGTAGTGGCTGCCCAGAGAGCATGATGTTAACTGGAGGCTCTCAAACAAATTCAATAAATAAACAAACTACATTTTAAAAGTGTAAATTTTAAGGGTTGTTTAATACCCACTTTTTAAAAATTACATTTTTCTTGCTTTAGTCAGTGGAAGAAGAGTATGCACTTTTGAAAAATGCATCCTTCTGCCTGTTCAAAATGTACACTTTTCCTGTCTGACTGAGGTGAAAAAATACACTACAAACAATGGGTGGGAGCTAAACCAAGCTTTGAAATTCAGTGTAAAGAAATGTGGTTCACTTGAGCCCCTCTGGTTCTTATGTCCTTAGACATACCTTGCCCTGTGTGAGGCGGTTCTTCCGACCGAGGGCATAAACAGCAGAATCAGTGGCACCAAGAGACACAACGGAGCTTTCGTCTGTTTTGATGGAGAGTGTCAGCTGGTCCTGGGGTTTCCATTCATTTCTGTTTCCCACTACGCTGATTTCCAGCTGAAGATGGAAGGAGCACAGTTAGTCGCCTCCCAAAATCCCCAGCCACCACCCAACGCTTGCCAACCCACCACTTTCCCATCATGGTGCTTTTCCCCATTCCTTCTGGGCTCTCTCAACTTCCTGTTCCATCGATCACCTGCCCTTCTGTGCCAGCCAAACCTTTCATCAGACCAGACATGATAAGTTTGTGTGCAGCGCACCTCGAGTTTACAGTTGTACAATGCAGGTAACGAGAGAGTGATGGCGTTAGTGTTGATAGGAAGATGAGAATGTTGTTAATTATTATGATTGCATAACATCTGTATCCCATCTTCCTTCCCCTTCCCAAGATGGCCTACAAAGTCCCCCTCCTCTCCATTTGATTCTCACAATAGCCCTGTTTTCATAAGTTAGGCTCGCCCAGTAACTTTCATGGCCAAAAGAGGACTTAGAAGTTGGATCACTCAAATCCTAGTCCAACAAGCTAATCTATGCCACACTAACTATAAGAAGAAGAAAAACAAAATGCTATTGAACATGACAATTATACAATTTCAAAAGTCTTGTGCTATAGGCACTACTTCCCAATTTTATTTAACACTCCCTCTAATAGCAAATTCAGGCACTGGAAACATGTAGGCAAAATGAGGCCACAGAGAAAGAAGCGGGAGGTGTAAGCATATTCATTGGAGCCACAAGGCTTGCAGAAGTACAAACAGCTGCAGCTGCCCTGCTCCAGCCACCCCCAGCAGAGCAGAGGAGTGTGTAGCCCTCAGGCTATCGTTGAAATGCAGCTCCAAAAATCCCTCACTGCTGGCTAGAGCTGGTGGGAAATGCTGTTTGGCAGCATTAGTGGGCCACACTCTCCCACTCCTGCCTGGAGTAGAGGTGAGGCAAAACAATAAACCAAAAACAGTTTTGTGAAGACCAAAGTGTAGTGGCTACAGCACACTGTGTGTCTGCTGGGGGGTTGGTGAAAGGAATGGCATGAAGAGTATTGGCCGTCCCCAGGTAACAAACAAGTTTCGTTCCTTAGAAAACAGACATTAGTCTTTGAGTTGAATTTGTATGCAATTTCTATGTATAGTTGGCACTCCACATTTGTGGGGGGTTAGGGGTACAGGAACCCCATGAAAGTGGAGAATCTCTAGCCCACTCCATCCCATGCCCAAACTCACCAGCACCTCCTCTTTACAGCAAGAGAGATTACCCTCTCTGGAAGGGCAGGGCAGGAAGTCATGCTTTGGAGGCCTCCCTCCCCTTTTTTCTGACTCTCTGGTGATGCTTTGGAGGCCCCCTCCCCTTTTTTCTGACTCTCTGGTGATGCTTTGGAGGCCCCCTCCCCTTTTTTCTGACTCTTTGGTGATGCTTTGGAGGCCCCCTCCCCTTTTTTCTGACTCTATGGTGATGCTTAGGAGGCCCCCCTCCCCTTTTACTTCCTCTTTCTTTTTGGTGGTGATGATTTCCCATAGTATTTTTTAAAAATTAATAGGCTTTATGGCAGTTTGTTTGTAAGTATGCGTTGTTCATAACTCAAATGTTCATAACCTGGGGAAGAGGGTATAACCGATTAGCCATAACAGGAGTACTTCCCCCTGAACAGGAGTATTCCATATTGGTACATTTTGTAACCTGTTGAATTCCTACCCAACTCTTCATTTGCATAACCCAGAGCTGTTTAAATGGTGCTCCAAGGAAGTCTAGTGTCCAGGAACTTTCCAGCTTGAGACTAGCATAACATTAACAAGAAACAACATCCTGTGTCCTCAGACCATTCTTTGGACCTTTACTAGTGTTGACTATCTAACATATAAAACAACTCCACAATCTGTAGCAGCAGATGCTGGGAAAGAACATTCAGAAAGGCAAGCTCATTTTCAAACACCACTCACTTTTCCCTCGCAGCGGTCAACAACATCCACCCAAATGGAATTTGCCACAACTTCATCTCCAATGCGATAGAAGGCCACAAAGCGGAAAGTGGGCATCAGGTCATGTGTGATGGGAATGGGGACTGAAACATAGGAGCCACGGGCAACTTTGTCTGCGGAGACAATGTCCCCTTTGCTCAAAACCTGGAAGAAAAGACCCAATTGAAAGAGTAGTATTTGGCATGAATGTGCATTACTTTTGAATTCTGCAAGTGTCGTACATACAAACATACATACATACATGGCTGCACTTGCATATACCATGAAGTCAGGGTTTAGTAATCCTCATGTGCTGCTTTAGCTATGAAATGTCTTGCAGACAAACAAACAGATTTTGCAGCCTGTTCTGGTTTGTTTCTTTCCAGCTCAATTTGTAAGCCTTCAGAACAATTTCATTCTCAGACAGCTCCTGCTGGGCACCTCTAATTCAGGGTGGTTGGACAGTGAAGCAAGCAAGCCAAAGATAAGTCATGGTTCTGGATTCAGATATCAGAACAGACCATGTTTTAAACAAGCCAGATTTGGGAATGAACAAAACGCCATAGCTTCTGATTATGATGTACAGCTAATGATCAAACCATGGGCTGTTTAAAAGGATGGGTTAGCACCCAGAAGAACTGACACAACAGCCAACTGTGGGTTATTTATTTATTTAGCCCACAGTGACTCCGCAGTGCATGCAGGGTATCCATGGGTACGATTGTTAAAGTAATACAACAATGGAACCAATTATTCCGGGAGGTGGTGGGCTCTCCCACACTAAAGATATTCAAGATGCAGCTGGACAGCCATAGGTTAGCGATGTCTGAATTTGGAGTCCAGCACTAAGCAGGAGGTTGAACTAAAGGGCCTCATTGGCACTTTCCAACTCTGTTGTTCTACAATTCTACAATTCCATGTTTAGTGCAGCCCAAGGGGACAGAGTGAGGGATTAGGGAAAGTTGAACTGTACACCTAGAGGCTGGCTAACAAGACCTGAACTCATGTCTACTCCTGGCTGAATTGCATAAGAAGAAAGGAGTGTCAAACTTATGTCAGCCAGAAGGCCGAAATCAATTTTGGAGAAGCTCTTGGGAATAGGTTTCAGTGACAATGAGGTCTGGAGGTCAACAACAGGTCCAAAGGCAAAATATTGGCAAAATATTCTGGGCCAGAAAACCAGCATCTTTTCACTTAATGCTTCCATAGCTAGTAGCTCAGGTGTAGGAGAGGCATTTCAGTTTTCAGAATGGTGGAACACAGGTAAAAGCTGGAACATCACCAGCAAATGATTTGCCCTGGAGATCAGGGGAAGGCAACAGGGGAAAGCATGAGGGACATGGCCTTCAGGGGATCCACAGATGGAAGGCCAGATTAGGATTCCTGATTGGCTGGGCCTGAAACACAGGACAGATGTGGAAGTCCAGGCCTGCAGGCCAAGAGGCAGACAAGAAGTTGAAAGAGAGGCAGCAACCCTAAAGCAAGTAAGAGACTACTTTCCCATTCATCACAGACAGAAGGGGTCCCATCCTCCGCCCACAAAGATTCACCATGTAGTAGAAGTGGGAAAAGGCATCCGATCCAACATTTTTCAGCCCCAGGGTGATGGTATCTCCAGGGTTCCAGCCCTGGTATTTTGGGCTTTCAATGATCAGGTAGTTCCTGTTCAGAGAAGTCATGGCTTTGGCTGTCAGGGTGACTTCTGCCGGAGACTCTGTCCCAGCTGTTACCTGTGTGGGTAACAAAGAGACACATGCTGGTCATGTCCAGAACAGGCTATTGTAATTCTTTTTGTTTACAGCAGTGTTTAGAGCTTAGTCCTATGCATGTTTAAACTGAAAAGCTAGAGCAGGGATCCTCAAACTTTTTCACCAGGGGCCAATTGAAAGCTGCTGGTGCTGGACATGGGCCAGAAAGGTGGAGCCGCCGGGGTGGGGTTGGGGGCGGCACGTGTGGGCACGCACACTGAGGCGGGGGGGGGGCATGCGGCGAGGCAAGGTGAGGCAAGGTACAGGCGGGCGCGCGCACACGATGAGAGGAGGCGAGGCGCGGGCGGGAGCAAGCAGGCGCCACGAGGCAGGCACACAAGGCAGTGGCTTGCTTGGAGATTGTTTTCTCAGAGCAAGCAAACCGCTGCCTCCCCATGCGTGGGGCAAGGTGGGTGGCGGCGGGCGCACACATGGGCACGGCAGGTCCAAATGGGCATGGTGGGCTGGATCCAGCCCCCAGGCCGTAGTTTGAGGACCCATGCCCTAGACCATGGGTCCTCAAACTAAGGCCCATGGGCCAGAACCGGCCCGCCGTGCCCTTTTAACCAGCCCACCGCACAGGTTTTGCACTCACTGGGTGCACATGTGGCTTGCTCATGAGGAGGTCATTTTGGAAATACTTGAAAATACTTGAAGAAAACGATCTCCTCGAGTCAGCGCCTCGCCCAGCGGCGGTTTGCTTGCGGGGAGATCCTTTTGGACCTGATCAGAGAAAATTATCTTGCGAGCAAGCCGGCACCTCGCTCTCCCATCTCCGCCTCGCCTCGCATGTGCCCCACCCCCACACTGGCCCATCCCTCCCCATCAGCACCGCCTTGGCGGCCCGCGGTCACCACTGGCATCTGTCAACTGGCCCCCTGTTCAGAAAGTTTGAGGACCCCTGCCCTAGACTGAAAAAGTCCAACTTCCAGCATTCCCCAGCCAGCCGTGCTAGGAGTTGTATGAGCTTTATTTTCTGTGTGAACATGCGTATAATTGCATAAGAACTGCACTCTTTAAAGACAGTCTGGAAAATGCAAATTCTAGAATACTAGTAAGGGCTGGAGAGTTTACTCATATTACATTAGTTCTGCATCCATTCCACTGGCTACCAATGTGTTACCAGGCTCAAATTAGAAAAGTGCTGGTATGAACCTTGACACTTTTAAAGCAGAGCTGCAGGATGTATGACATCTGCTTGAGTTGCTGGTCTTCAATTCCCATCAGCCCTCACCATTGCTATTCTGGTCAGGGTCGATGGGAATTTCGGTCTGCCAAGAACTGGATAGCACATGTTCCCCGTGCCTGTTTTAAAAACTTACATGGTTTTCAAACTATGTTTCTGATCTTGGCTTGATCAGGTAAAGCTACAGTTAAAAATTAACCAGGTTGGACAAAACAGCAAGTTGCAAATGGCTGAAAATGGAAGCGATATGCTTGCCATCCCCTCCTCGCAGCACTGTTTGTGGAGGGAGTGGTGAGCAGGCTCTCACACACAGCACTGAAACAAGAGTTAGCCTGGCTTTTGAACAAGGGATGCTGGGAAATGTTTTGTGAATAGGATGGGCCAAGGAATCTCTACTGTCAGTCCTGTTTCTGATCCTGGAGAGCTATTCTGAGAGTATTGTCTGAAAAGCAGAATAAAAACACTTTGAATAAATAAGCTAACAAACAAAATTATTTCCTTGCAGTTTGCAGTCAATGTTTGAGTCCTCCTTTTGGTGCAACTAAAAACAAATCTATTCCATCATCTACATGACATATTTGAACATGTCTATTGGACAGCCTCTTCCACCTCCATAAGGATTATCTAATCCTTCCTTAGACCCAGAAGCCATCGGCCTCCATCACTTCCTGTGGCTGGAAATTCCTGCCACTCTTGAAATTTTTTCCTGGTCTAAGCCTTGTGCAGGCACAGAAGCCCTTATGGATGATGCACAAAGACCATGAGGAAGAACTAAAAGTTGATGTGAACTTCTAATTGCTTGAAGGAGAAGAAGCAGAGAAGATGCTCTGTGAAGGGAGCTCTTAAATCCATTGAACCTCTCTGTTTCTAGGGCCAATGCCCACTTCCTTGGTCCGGGGTGCAAAACCTCTTTCAGCTTAAGGGCCAAAATCCATCTGAGAGATGCTTTTACTGGACACATTCCATGATGATGGGTGAGGCCAAAAATACCAGCAGTTTCACTTAATGGGTTTTTTTTTTTTTTTTTGCCAGTAAGCCAGCCGTAGGAGAGACTTTTAACACTTTTAGAATAGGGAAAAACTGCATAAAAGCCAGGAAACCCACAAATGATCACCATTTGGAGAAAACACGATGGAGTCAGAAAAGGCCTTGGACATCTGGAGATACCCCAGGCCTAAGGTTCTGCATCCCTACCTTAATCCTTAAGCCTTTTCTCCCTCCTCCTCCTCCTCCAAATAAAATATTCTCTCCCTTCCCACTTTTTAACAGGCCTATGGGGCCTATACCGTGATGGTGATAGATGTAGCTCTGGGAGAAATGTTGATCCTCTGCATCACAAGCCCCTTATCATTGGTGTCCATTTGGGCATCATCAACAGATGAGCCTCCAGTTATCTGAGCTGAGAAGTGGACTGGAAGGTGGCGGGCAGGTGTGCCATCTGGGAGTGAAACAGCCACCTGGAAAACAAAGGAAAACAACCCAGAAAAGTTTATGACTTATGGCTTCTGATATACACATTGAAGATGTTATTGTTTTATTTATTACACTGTTTAATATGTTCAAAATATCTTGGTAGAAACATACAGCACAGTCCTTCATAGAAAGGTGGGGAACAAATCAAATCAATTTCCGCCATCTAGATGAAACACCAGTGATGGGGAGGAAAGGATTCTGAGGAACCAAACAGCCCCAGCCTCTTCCCTTCCATGCTGTTGACAAGCCTCTTTTTGTTCCCTCTGAGGCCTATTTGCAGCCTCAGGGAGGAAGCTGCTGTGTTTCTTTCCACAGTTGGCTGGGGGGGGGGGGGCTCTTCCTTCAGAGCTCCTCCTCCAGGTTCACAGGGTCTCAGTACTGGGACTCTGCATCATCCAGTGGCCCCAAGACAACACTGAAAGACCAGAGGATTGTGCCCTTGAACATCTAAAACAACATAAGAATACTATAACAATAAAACAGGAAAGGAACAGAGTCCTTCCCAAGTCTGGGAAGGGCTTTGTGAATAAGTGTGTTTTCAAGAGGCATTGAATAGATACAACAGATTAGTAAAACAAAAGGGCTTATCCACAAATGCATGTATATTGCCCCAAAGGAAGTAAAATAGGATGGCCACTTGTCTTCTTTCACAGTGGGCAGTCCTGTATTTGAAGGACTATCTAGTCTAGGTACAGCCTAAGATAAAGAACTGTGTGTGTAACAGCCCCATCAGGCCTACAACTCACTTCAGCTGCTTTCACCCAAACCACTGCTCCTGGGAGCAAAAAGTAGTAAACAAGAATGAAGTAAGGCCCATCCCTGGTCACAACACAACACAACACAACACAGAACACTGTGCACTGCTGCAGACGCACCAGCACATCAAAGGGGGCACCAGGCACAAAATGCTGCTTGGTTTTGGACAGGTCCACGGTGTATGGAGATGACACAAACTTCACAGAGGAAAGTTCTTGCTCCTCCAACTCTCCACCTGTAGGAATGAAGGAACAATCAGTGAAGAAAAGGACACAGATGTGACTCCTCTCTTGGATACAAACATACAAAGAGTGGGATACTCAAGTAAGAGAGCCATTGTGGGGTAGTGGTTAAGAGTACAGGACTGGGACTCAGGTGATCTGGGTTCTAATCCCTGCTTGGTCATGGAGCCAACTGAGTGATTCTGAGCCAATCACAGACTCTCAGCCCAACTTATAAGACTGAGAGCAGGAGGAAGAGAATGATGTAAGCCACTTTGAGTTTGTTACAAGGAAAAGCAGGATAGAAATCAAATAAATATACTGCAAGCATCCAGCAGAATACATTTCCCTTCTGTTCTCTTTCAACAAGCTCAAGCAAACAACATTGCACAGATTTGCCCCACAGTCAGACTCCACACAGCAAAAAGGGTAATTCAGAAAGATTTTGTAAGGCATCCTGAATTTCAGTGCAGAGCTGAGCACTCCACAATATTTATTTATTTATTTATTTATTTAAACCACTTCTATGCCGCCCCATTCGCAAAAAGCCTCGGGGCGGCTTACAACATAAATAAACAATTATATAATTAGACTTTAAAAAACCGGAAACATCTCGGCACAAACATAAAAACCCAATAAATACAATCAATAAATTAACAATTAAAATAACTTTTAAATAAAATGACAGCACATCATATTTGGGATGGAAAAAATGGAATGAGAGGCCTGGCAAGAAAAATATCAACCTTAAACCATTAAACAGAAAAGTGGTTTTGGTTAAGCATTAGTGTTGGACATGCTCGAAGTGGAGTTCCCATTTCCAAACTTACTTGCTGTCTCTATGACTGTCGCTGCGATGTAGAGCGTTGTTCCAACCAGGTCCTGCAGAGAGCGCCCTAATTTCTCAGAAAGAAGGCTGCACTTTAGGGTCAGTGAACCAAGGCCTTCAGTTACCTGGTAAGAATGGAATTGGGGTGGAGGTAGAGGGAAATATTTATTTATTTCTATCCTGCCCAACAGCCAAGACTCTCTGGGAGGTTGACAGTAATAACATACAAAACAGAAACATAATAAAACAGCAATAAATTGCAGTGCAACATTTAAAATAGAATTTAAAACAATTTGAGCAACTAAGACAAGTTCAATTCAGAAGGGAAAAAAAGCTGACATAACCCCTGCTCTCCCATACTAGTTAAATCCATTAAATGCTTCAGCAGAGAGAGCAGTCTTAACATAGTGCTGAGAAGGCAGCAAAGGAGGCACTTGGTAAGCCTTGGGGTGAGGACCATCTATAATAACTGAAAAGGACGTCCTCCTTGATGCCACTAGCAGAGCCTCCCTGCAAGGTGGCATTCGGAGGAAGGCCTCAGATGGTGCATATATTGTCAAGATATAAAATACAGGATAAATATTAAGGTGGGCTGCAAGCACATTTCCCCTGGGTCTTGAAATAAGGACGGCTTCAGAGCGAGGGCAGAAAAGTTGTGGGGGAGGTGTAAGAGAGGCAAGCAACTGCAGGCGTCCCCAGGCCTTTTTGGGCCAGTGGGCACTTTTGGAATTGTGCTCTTACTGAAGGGTTGCTACGAAGGGCTTGCCCTTCCACAAAACGGCTGCCATGGTGGGCACAACTAGTGACAAAACACTGATTTCCCAGAAGGCCAACAGTGAGAAAAGAAATGTGTCCAGGAACCTAAACACAAGGCAGAAGTAGGGCTGAAGCTGCAAAATGCAAAGCCACTCTTTTGAATGTAGAGATGGCACTGGAGGGCAGAACTTCATTTTGTAGAATGCCAACATCCCAATTAAAACAATAAAGTAAAAAAAATATATTAAGAAACAAAAAGCAGGAGAACAGGGGGAGTAGTGTGTATAGTGTTAGGAGATCCCAAAAACAGAGCACCTAATCTATCCATCAGATTTGGGGACTTAGGAGGTGCTGGGAAAGGGTACTGCTGACCCAAGGCCTTTTTGTCCCTGAGACAGAAGAGGCTTCCATCCATCCAGGTCAAGGTGCTCAGCACCCAAGATCAGTTAGGTTATTTCTAGTATGCGAGAGAGAAGTCCCAAATGCACCTCTTCCCATTCCTGGCAGCAAAAACACAACAGGAACACATATAAAATGCCCTACGTTTTGCTGCTGTGCATGGCAGCCGGATCTGCTGCCTAAAGCAGCTGCCTCACTGTGTTTAATGGTTGGGTCAGCTGTGGAAACGGGTGCTGGTAGCGGCTGGCTATTTCTTTGTTTGGGCCTGATTTGTGATGTCCCCAGTTAAGAGATAAACTGGCCAAAACAGAATACCAAAAGAGACAAGTGGGATCTGGAACAAATGGTTGCAACTCCTGGTCGTGGCTCCAGCCAGCCATGCCTCCTCCATACATACTCCATTTTATCCACTTCCCATATGGCTCCCTATTCCCTGCCCACCACATTCAGTCAGTCCCTACCCACACTTCTGTGGCTGCTAGAGCCTTTTTAATTCTCCTGCTGGGGTTTTATTTGATTTATTTAGAGAGCAATCCTATGACCCATAGACATCATAGCAGGGAGCACAGGACAATCTGGAGTCTCAGATCTGAGACCGGAGACAGCACTCTGATCTAGGGGCTGGGAATCCGCACCCCACACCTCCTGCCCACCCCCCAAGCAGCTGGCACAGAAAGAATTTTGCCAGCCGCCTCTCCTAGGTTACTCCCAGGGAGAGGGTCAAATGGGTCTTTCAAGGGGCAGGGAGGGGAGCAGATTGAAACTGCCAGGTGTTACGGTTGGCCTGGAGTGGCCCTGAAGTGCCACTCAGCCATACCTACTGACCCCAAGAAGCAGAAAGTGCCTTTTTGCAAGCAGCTGTGGGCCTCTGCTTCAGCAAGAGGTGTGGGGCAAGGTGAAGATCTCTCCTGCCACTTCTGCCATGCTGCACTGGATACAAGCCTTACGACTTGCCAGATTTACAAGCCTTCTCATGTGCAGGCTGAGCAGCATCAAGGACACAATGGCCAGGACAGCTCCCTTAAACATTATGGTCTCCCACATGGCCCATAGCTTACAAATAAAGCCTTTATGACAAAGAAGAAAACATTAACAACAATGGAAAACAATGAAAGCCTGAGTTCTTTTACCAAGACTTGTTGCTCCAGTCCTGAAATAAAGATTTTCTTCCCGTTATCATCAATGATGCCAAAACGCACGTAAGCTGTGCTGGTGACCCCCTTCCCATAGAAAAATCTGTTGGTGAAGAGGGAGTGGAAGCCAGGCAGAAATCAAATGGTTAGCTAAGGGGTAGTTTCTTACAACAGCAATGGCAACAACATTTTTATTTGGCCCAATTAAAGCTCTCTGAGAGCTGTTCCTGAAAGATTAAAACCTTAAAAATACAACACAAAACTTGGTTTAAAAAACTCCATATCTCCCCACCTCCACCGTTATGAAATCATACTCAGGGACACCTCAGCTTCTAGCCTGCTCAGTGATTCTGCAACTCCAGGGCAAGTACTGCTGCAAAATATGAAATGGATCCATGTGCTAAAGGTGCAAATCCCTTTGCTTAGACCAAAGGGCATGTGGCCTGTGCTTTCAACCATGTGGAGAGCATCCATGGATACAGGAGACTCTCCTCCCCAGGACGACACTGCCCTTGAGTCGGAAGTTTGGGAGTTTGATTGAGAAGGAGGGTGGGGCTGAGCATGCTCCTTCACCAGTTCGCTTTAGGCACCTATCACCACAAATCTTCCCCTTTTGGGAAAGGTATTGTTGTGCGTGCTCCCTGAATAAATGCTGGGTTTTAACTTACCTGCATTATTGGTTTCTGTATTTGCCCCTTTCCTACTCAGATGCCCTCCAAACATTGTGCCTCCCAGCATCCCCCCGACAGCAGTGGCTTTGCTTGCTAGGAATGGGGTAGGGTCTAGCTTTACACCCCCGTGTAATGCCTTGGGGAAGGCATCAATTGTTTCATTTTGGAGTCACATCAAAGTACTTGCAAGGTGGGGTGCAAAACATTTTAATTCATTAATTTTATCATGAATAGCAGCCTGAGAACAACTTACTTAGCCTGAATGTCAATTTTCAAGTCAGAGTCCTGCTGTTCAGAGACCAAAATATATTTCTGTTCTGGAACAATTTTCACGTCAAAATGGGGGAGCACTAAATGAAAGATGCAGATAAGTGGAAGTTTGACAGGTACAGTTTCCCTTATTATTCCCATAGAAATACTGTGTGCAGCCACTAAAGAACTTCTGGAAAGTCTAGGGAATCCCAAGCAGGGAACAAAATGATCATTGTGTGCTAGAGCTGGGAGCAGGGTCTCATCTGTGATAGCCCCAGGCATGTGGAACATGATCTGCTCAAGTTGGCTTGAATCATCTCAGTGTCAGGGATATTTAATAGGAAGCATGGTAGAGATGCTGCAGCTGGGGGACCACTGAAAAGTCCTGTCTCTCATGCCTGCCACTTGGGTGGGCCTCATTCTCTCTCCTTTCCTTCTGCTGCAGCCAGGTGAGATGCCACTTATCCCCTTCTGGTAGCTCTGTGATGAAAAGTGATGCGGCTACACGTGGGGCCCTGACATATGCCCAGCCTCACCACCCGCTGGAGCTAGCTTTGTGAAGCTGCATTATACTAAACCAGGCCATTACTATCTATTCAGCAATACTCAGAGACTTTTGTTTTAAACACCTGAGCCATACTGCTTTATGCCTCATAAGTCTAACCAGAGACAGTAAGAATCGATTGCTTTCTCAGGAAACGACTTGCTTTAATTAAAAAAATAACTGCAATTCCAGGATGCAGTCAACGTTTGCACCTTCTTAAATTGCAACCTGCCACACAGCTCTTAGAAGCTCTGAGCATCTGTCAAAGTAAGAAAATATGCCATCATCACAGAAACATACCATATTTTTTCACCTCGAACTCTGTTGTTGTGTTGGAGCCCAGTGCGTTGACAAACGCGGCTGTAATGCGCCAAATGCCAGGCCTGGGAGGGAAGCAGCAAGACAAAAAGAGCAGGAGAAATGGTGAGCTGATGCAAAGGGGACCAGGATCCAAAGAACCACTCAGTGACGTCTGCATGTCTGAAATTGTGCATCCTCAACAGGCTCTCCCCACCCTGTGATGTATGGCAGTCTTCCCTAATGTGGTGCCCTCCAGATGTGCTGGACTAAAGTTCCCAGCATGCCTCAGCCAAGCTAGCTAAAGATGTTGGGAGTTGAAGACAGCTCCATGGAAAGCACATTTGGACCTCAGGGGATTTTCAAAGGCAGTTTGTGACCATGCTCCATAGAGGTCTATTGCTCAAAGAAAAACAGAATCAAAGAGGTCTAGTGGATGGATGCAAGCCTTTGACTATCCTAGAGTCGGCCTTTGCTCCCTGGTTTTAGTCTGACATTAGAGCCCCTGCTTTTTCTGCCTTTAATAGCAACAGTAGGCATAAACCATTTTCAAACACCTCCAACGTTAACTTTTGCATATTAAGTGACTATTGGAAACACAGGAGCAGGCCGGGATGTTTTTTCTGAGTAAGTGGCAACCATGCCTTAAATTTACAATCCACCCTCTGGTTTAATCCCTGGAAAATGTGAAGCAATTACTGAAATCCCAGATTGAGCTTCCAAACATTTGGAAAAATTTGGAACGCTCAGGTTTTAAACAAATTATATTCTTTATATTTGGTGTCAGCACTCTTTCTCTTTTCTTTTGATCAGAGTTCCTGAGCCAGAAGCAAAGTGCAAAACTCCAACAAGCATTGCTGCACCTTTCAACCCCATCATGTGTGCCTTGCAGCTGTTAAAGGCATTGGAGGCCTTTAACCTCCCTATCTCAGTCTGTTGTTTGTTTGGGTGGTTCGGGATGGATGTTGCCTTGAGGGAAGGAAGAGGCAGTTTTGGAACCAACTCCTGCAAAATAGCCTTCCAGTTCTTCTTTAACCCCCCTTTCGCTGTATGGTGTGACAAGGGGCGACTTTGGATCCATTTGTTTGTACAGAATGAAAGGATAGTAGTGGCATTCATGCAGGAGCCCCTGGAATGTTGCCTTCCTAGGCTGTTGCTTATACAAGCCTTTCATAGAGAGCGTGACTGGCGAGGAGCAATGAGTGCTGTGGTGCCTTGCATCTGCAGGGCACCAAAATATTAAGGGCTGCTGTACACTACCTGCTTAGTTGGGCTGGACCTGGTTATAGTGTTGGTCAGACTTACTCAGAGATATCAGGGATTGATAGGTGATCCTTTATCACAAAATGGACTGGCATGAGCTCAGCTTTCCGGACCTGAACACCACGGGGGTTCTGGTGAAAACCAAAAGTCAGAAAGACGAACAGGTGGTGGATTTTTAAAAACGTGTTGATGTTCACATAAGCAAGTTTCCCCACCGCCACACTCCAACCAGAGCTTCCTTTTTCTGAACCTGGACAAGTTCCTAATTACCTGAATAGTGATGGTGACTGATTCAGCGCTCGGCCGCAATTTGTCATCCAGGACAAAGACTCGGAAATTCACTAGAAGAAACCGGATGTGAGTATGAGAGAAAAACCAAGGGCTCCTGGATTGCATGTGCACATGTGTGTGTGAGAGAGAGACAGATTCTCTGTATATCATTATAGCCTCTAACTAAAAAAAGCCATGCTCAAGGGCCCATCTAATCCAGTATTTATTTATTTATTTATTTAAAACATTTCTATGCCGCCCCCATCGCAACAAAGCCTTGGGGCGGCTCACAACATACATAAAAATACAATCAATAATTTAAAAACTGGTACCATCTCGGCTATATATTAAAATCTATAAATACAATAATAATAAATTAACAGTTAAAATAACTTTTAAATAAAAAGGTCTTCCCCTGGCCATTGCAGTGGCTGGCCAGCTGACCATGGGAAACCAACAAGCAGGTCATGAGCGCAACAGGAACTGGTGTTTGTGGGTGCACTGCCTCTGATACCAGGGGCAGAGTATAGCCATCAGGACTAGTAGGCATTAATAGCCTTCTCCTTCATGAATCTGTCCAATATCCTTTTAAATCTGTCAAAACTGGCAGCTATCAGTATGTCTCGTGGAAGTGAATTCGATGTGAATTCGACCTGTGAAGAAGTCCTTCCTTCAATTTGTCTTGAATCTCCCACAAATTATAGGATTCTAATATTAAGAGAAAGGAAGAAACACTTTCTTCACGCCATGCGTAATTTTGTACAATTCTAACATGTCTCCATCCTACTTGACTTTTTTCTCAGTTAAACAGTCCCACATATTGTAACCTTTCTTCATGAATGAATGAAGGAAAGCAACCATTAAAATAAACAGGACAATACAATTGGACTAGGAAGGAGGCTAAAGCTGAACTCACCCTTTTGCCGAGGGGTATAGATCGGCTTGTCCGTCTGCACAAAGAGGTACCCACGCCGGGAACTCCAGCGCAGGTCGAGGGTCTGAATACCATTGGAGCTGGGGAGCTGGGTACTGTGAGCAACAAGCTGGATGTAATGGTTTCGTCGCTGTTTACTCAAAGCACACTGGACAAAAAGCTCATGCGTCACCTGCAGCAGTAAGAAAGTGGCAACACTGAAGGGTGACAAAGACCTCTCGAGGCAAAGAGCAAGCAAAGTGATCAGGTGTCCTGGACTGACCCCCACTGGATGGCACTCGCATGGCTGAATGCTTTAACGTCAAGAAATGTTCCTGGATGACACAATGTAAGGGACATGTCCAGCTTAGAAGAATCGTTCTTCCAGCCCAGAAATCTCTTGTTACAGAGGAGGATTCAGTGATGCGATCTTCCCATTAGTAGACTGAAATAGTACGGCCAAGGAAGAATAATTTGAGCACCTTCTGATATACCCAAAAAGAGCCCATTAGATAAAGCATCATCTTTCTATTTTCCCAGACCCTGGTTATATGAAATGAAAATAAGGTGAGTAACAACAGCAGCAGCAATTACAATACTATAGATTATACTAATAATTCAATATCAACATTTCAAAATGTGTGTTTTCCTAAATCTGGAGCTTCCATGGTGAAGGCCACCTTAAAAGAGCCAAACAGCATGGTCAGTGATGAAATGCTATATTGCAAAGCGCAGGTGCTCATCATGACTTTTGCCATACCCACTTCTCTGCCCCCAAAAGAAGAGTCCAAAAATTCAGGCTGCTGCATTGATTCATCTCAACAAAACAATTCTGGCAGCTTTCCTCTTCACAAGGACATGGGCTTTTGTAAAGTGACCAGATCTTAATTGCCCGTTCCAAACCAAACCAAGCCTCTCTGTATTATAACAGTGAACAATATTGCTAGAAAAAATCCATTTCTTCCCCAGTTATTATGAGGAATTCAGCTAAGCTCAGAAGGAACAGGGAAACCTGGAAGGGCTGGAGTGGCAGCTCAGTGGAAACATTCTCCTGAACAGCTGTGTTCCTGGGCTGCACCTCACTAGTGAACATGGCCTAGTGCAACAGTTGCTTTGGACCTGCTTGTAGATCTCTAGGTGAAGTGCTCCTTTCTGGCTCCTTATTGTTTAGCAAAAGCAACAAGACACTGACTCCCTTCCAGCCCTACATTAGTGTTTTGCTGAAATGGAAAGAGATTGGGATAACCAAGAGTGGATTTTTATGTGGAAGTACTGTGAGCTCCGTTCATTTCTGGAACTCAGAACTAACCTCTGGGCTCAGAATTCTTTAATCCTAGCCTTAAGTCTTTTGCAACAGCCTTCAGTTACAGGGTTCTAGTAAAACAAACAAACAAACTCCAAGCATTCTGGTGACAAAATTCTGAGGGTTCTAGGTGAAAACAGAATTAAAACAAAAGAAAGAATGCTAGTTAAAACAAAATCTGCAGGTCCCAGTAAAGAAAGAAAGTAGATGTCTGTCTGCCTCTGGTATAAGAATAGAGCCTTGGACTGAAGACAGCTGAATTTGGATCCTGGCTCAGCTACCAAGTGTCTTGGACAATTCTGTCTCACTCAGCCTAACTGATCTCACAGTAGCGTTGCCAGGAGGAAAAAGGACAATTTCCTTACATGCCATCAAATGCATGGATAATCAGTAGCAGCAGCAGTATCAATAGTGACGCAGCTAGAGCTGGGCCTGGGGCCCTACCCACCCCACAAAGAAGGACCCAAAGAGCAGCAGGTGATGGGTCAGTAGCAAGAAGCCATCTTAGCATCTATGCTGGGTACCCGCACCAGAACTGCCACTGCTTGCCACAGCATCTTTTTCCCCCTATATTTAAAAAATGTTTCATAATCAGTGGGCAGAAAGTCAGGCATGTGGACAATTACAGATGCTACTTTTTCTTGTTCGACTTCAAAAACATATTGCCCTTGTGAGTGTATGCATGCGCATATAAAAGAAAATGGGACTTATTCCTGAGTAATCTGTGTTTAGCATCAGGGTCGCAGAAGCAAATTCTGTTTTACCCGTGATAGTGCTGTGGTTTAAGTGAGCTTAAAATGTAGAACAACACATGCTCAGTCTTTCTTTTTTCATCAGGATTGGTAAGTGAATGTTTCCTTTTGATTTGTTCTAACATATCAGAACAATAGAAGTAGCTGGAAAGCAAAGAATGACAGTGGTGAGGGAGAGGAGAGAAATTTCCATTGTGTTTTTCAATTACAGTAAAAAATACGGCCATGCTGGGAGTTTTAGGAATTTTTTTTCTGTCTAAATGTGCATAGGATTGTGCCCTATAACCAATAAATCCAATCTCTACCTAGCTGTACCCTTGATAATCGTTATTTTTTTAATCTTGATAATTTTTGTCTATAAACATGTGAAGAAGGATGCCTGACAGCTGTATAAATACCCTTGTCAGCATCCACATGAAAAGCGGAAGCAGAAGAAAAGTTGTTAAGCCAATTTTAATTAATGGGACTTCAGACTGTCTCCTACCAGTGTTCTCCTTTTTCATGTCCCCCAGGTTCTTCTCCACATGCTGTGCACATCCCGTTTTTCCCCATCAAGTTCCCCCTTCAAGTTCTGCATTGCAGCTCAGTATAAAGCTTAATTTCTGCCCGTCAGCACCTGATCAGCCATGAGTCTGCTTTTCCGTGACTCGCAAGCATCAGCGGATTATTTCAGACAAATTTGTGAGAGCGACCCTGGTGTCTCTCCTGCCAAGACAGCACTTTTGTTAGCCCAGTTAAGGCTTTTGTTTTGAAGCATGGTTGCAGGCAAACTTCAGATAGTTCTTCAAACAACATTTTGTCCTAAATCTGGAAGTCCAGAGGGAGGAATTGATGTGTACATGGTAAGGAGAGATGTGAAGAGAAGCAAGCTCTGTGCAGGCAACCAATCCATGGTTTGTTCATTCTAAGAGCCAGCGTAGCACAGGGGTTAAGAACACGGGACTGGGACTCAGGGTATCTGGGCTCTAGTCCCCACTCAGTCTGGGCACCAACTGGGTGACTTTGGGCCAGTCATATCTACCCAACCTACCTCACAAGGTTGTTTTTGCAGGGATATGATTGAGAACAGGAGGAGTTCTTTAAAAAAAGAAAAAGGTGGGATAGAAATCTAATAATTAAATAAAGGTACAATTTGGGCTTGGTTGGCCAGGAATTGAGGTTGCCCAGACCTCCCTCAACTCCTCTCAGGAACATTCTATCTCATTCAGAATTCAAGGCAGAGCTGTGTGGCATCTTAAAGATGAACAGATGTACATTATCTTGGATACACACACCCAGCTGGACTCTGGAGTTGATTTAGTTCTTTGGCGCTGCCTGAGATCAGACACACTCACTCACTGGGCTGCTTGCCAATCCTGCTAACCTAGTTTTCCAAGGCATTTAGAACAGGGATACAGAACATCTTTCAGTCTGGTCAAATTCCATTCTGGATAAGCTTCTGAAGTCCATATTCTAGAAATGGTTAGAAGGAAGGCAAAACTGTGGGGCCAACATGCCATCATATTGGAGGCACTGGAAGCTTTCAGATGAGCCAGTGATCAGGAAAAAGGGGATGTACCCATCTGGGGAGCTCTGCAAGCCCAGATTTGACCGCCAGACCTAAAGTTCTGCACCCCTGCTTTAAAACAGGCCCTGTAAATGGGGCTCTGCCCCTCCATGAGTGCATATCGTAAATCTGAATTGTCTGTGTGTTCAAGCCAAAGGCTACTAACATGGATGACAATGGAATCTTCCTGAAGAGTCAACTAAGCCTGTCATACAGCCAGGTCCTGCCTTGCAGGGGTGGAAGTACAAAGACCCTTGTCACACGTACCTTCAAGGTTACTTTTTGTATGAAGCCACTGCTCTGAAGACTGAATGGCACCTCCTGAGAGCATTTCACCATGGAATTCTGGTTCCGGAAAAAAACTGTGCCCGAGAGCCCAGATGGGGCTCCCTCAACTTGAAGTACGACCCCCACCTCAGTCCCCACTGTCACCACACTGGGTGCCACCATGAGCAGCCTGTGAAGCGGGAAAAAACAGAGACAACTTATGGTTAAGCCCACAGTCACCACCAGGCCAGTTCTGATACTGATTCAACCTTAGAGATTTTGCAACCTTAGAGAAGAAAAAATGATAGAAAGAGAACAAAAGACTTGTTTTGTTTCCAGACATTAATAAAAAACTTGCTGTCTGAACTCTCTACTAGCACAAATTGTCCCTTCATAATCACAATGACCAGGAAGGGGCCATGGCTCAGTCCTAGGTGTGATTCCCGGCATCTCCTGCTGGGACAGGAAACATTCCTGCTGCTGTTGGAATGCTGCTGCCACTTGAACCATTGAACCACAGACCTTGTTCAGTGTAAGCAGCTCCCTGTGCTTCTGGACAGGGCTGGCTCCGGGTTCTTGGAGGCCCTGCAGCAGGCCACCCTCAAAGGCTCCCTCTCTCTCTCCATCTACCTCCTCACCAGCTGCTCTTGCTCCCACTTGCTTATTCAGCTGAGCAGCCAGACCATGGCAAGTGCTGCACCTCCTCACCACCACTGCCATTGTCTGGGCCGGAGCAAGAGGCTGGAGAAGAAGCCGGGTACAAGGGGGAGGAGGCGGAGGAGCAAGCTCAGGGGCTCTCAGCAGTGGCCCTTTGCTGAGATGCGGGCCCTTGACAGCTGCCCAACCATCTTTTTTGCTGGCTCCAATTCCACCCAGCACTCCATTGAAAACACATACTCCCCACTCCAGTGGTAGATCACTCTGTTTCACATGCAGACTGCTGGAGAGGACTGCCCCATCATTAGGCAGAACAAGGCCACCATTTTAGGCAGATGGTTTTGGGCATCATGCTCCAGAGAGTTCGATGTTGTAATGCTCAAACAGCTAGATTTTTAATTCATGTTAAACAACTCTGGCCTAAGCCATAAGGAGGGTATGCAGAGCACATAATTATTGTATTTTCACTACCACAGAGCAGGGAGAGATATTTGATTTTTTTGCCATAGATACCAAAATAACTTGATTGGCTGCCAGTACTGGGCACTTTGATGAGAGGCAGTGGCACCATTTGCTGAATCAAGTAGCAAAATATCTATTTCTCCCTTGCAACGCATGTGGGAAAAAACCCCTTCCTAAAAGTTTACTGCAGCCTTCCCTAGGCTTGCTACCTCAAGAGTGTTGTACTGGGCCCCAGACATCCTGGTTCTAGTCTTCATGAAGCTTGCTGGGTGACTTTGTCACTGATTCTCAATCTGATCTACCTCACAGGATTTCTGTGAGGATAAAGTAGGAGGACTATGAAAGCTGCCTTGACTTCACCACAAGAGGCAAAATGGCAGGGTATAAATGCAATTCAGTAACAATTATAACTCCTGGCATTCCTTCCTATTGGCTGTGATGGCTGGGGCTGATGGAATTTGAAGTCCAAAACAACTGAAGAGCACCAAGTCAGGGAAACCTGACTTAGAGACTTCCAGTCAGAGTAAAGATCTGTACAGTACAGGCCTATTTCTTATGTCCCCATCTCCCTCCTATAAGGAGGCCAATAACACAAATGGGAAATATATTTTCATTTCTCCGTTCCATTATTTCTATACCTCTTTTCAGAAGAAAAATATGATGAATGTTGTGACCCACCAAACCAAAACACAGCCCACCAAGCACTCCCCCCCCCGACTAGTGTGGTTTGTAGGCCTCAGGGGCCCACTGCCATCTTGCATGGCAACCACCCAGTTTCTAGCAGGTTGAAAAGGAAGGGGTATTTAGCAAGTGCTGGGCCATCATCTACAGCTGGCAGCCATGTTTTGGTTAATAAAGCTGGTTCATGTGTGTGGAAAGGTGACCAGGCAGGGAGAGGAACTGGGATAGTCCTCTGAGACCCAGCAAAAGCCTGCTGGGCTTGCACCCTGTTTCTTCACTTGCCTCTCACTCTGGCCAGGCGATATTGGGTGAGATGCCCTGAGATCTTTGCTCCCTGGCTCTCTGCCTGCCATGCAAGCGAGAGCAGGCAGGAGAAAGGATGATGAGAATTAGGAGCTGCGCAAGCGGATGGAGACCACAGTGGTGAGAAGGTCTACTCATGGAAGCTGGGGGCCCATGGGAGGTGTCTTGCCCAAAGGCCCTGGGAGCCATGGAGTCAGCCCTGAAATAGTGGGTTGTCAGGGAAGGTGCTTGTTTGTTTTTTGCCCAGTTTAGTAGCACTGGAGGTTATATTTGCTCAAGAGGACTGATCAGAACAAATTTAAGGAGGAAAGTTCAGTCCAGGACATCTTGAAATTCTGGATAAAAAGGACTGGATCCAAATTTAATCATGCATACAAGGAAATTAATTAGACCATGAGTGGGCAACTTGTGGCCCTCCAGATGGCTTGGCCTGTAGATCCCATCATCCCTCACCATTTGCTATACTTCTTAAGGCTGATGGGATTTGTGGACTACAGATGACCTAGCCCTGAATTAGACTGTAGATAATCATGACTAACTAGTCCTATTGATTTCAATGGGTAAGAACTTAAGAGCTGTGTTAGACTGGACCAAGGATTCCATCTAGTCCAGGATTCAATTCTGGCTGACCAGCTGCTCACAGGGTCTCACAAGCAGGACATGAATGTATCAGCACCATCCTACCCATGTTGCTCAGCAACTAATGTGCAAAGGTACACCGCTTATGATACTGGTGGCAACCTATAGCCATCAGATGTGTAGTCTTGTTTTCTATGAATTGGGGCAATCCCCTTTAAAAGCTATCTAAATTGATGGTCATCATTACATTTGTGCAAGTGAATTCTATAGTTGAATTTTGCACAATACAAAGAAGTTCTTTTATTTGTCCAGAACCTGCCAACATTAATCGTCATGAAATAACCCCTTTGATGTCTGGTGTTATAAGAGAGGGAGAAAAATGTATTCATGTCTCCCCTCACTCTCCTTTTTTCTAAGCTAAACTATCCCAGATATTTTAACCTTTCCTCAAAGGGGAGTTAGTCCAGCCTGTTGATCATTATTTAGTTGTCCTTTTCAAACTCTACAATATCTTTCCAGTGCAGTGACTAAGTTTGTGCTCTAAGCACAACTAAGACTAGAGTCAAAGAGAACATAATCACATAAATTCCAGTTTTCAACAGGGAATGCCATTGTTTTATACAGTCAAATGGCACATCCACACCCAAGAGTGGTATCAACAGGGAACCCCAAGGAGAAATTGGGCAGGGGAACAATTCCCACAGCAGCCTAGTAAGGTCTGAACATATTCAGTGGGCACAGAATGGTCACTGACTGTGCAAGGGTGTGGAAAACAGAATGCTGGTTCTCTGATGGGGAGAATGGAACAGAGCTGGGCTTTTAAAAAAAAGTCCATCCTGGTACAAATGTGCAGTTCCAGGGAAAAGGTGAAATTTCAAATGAATATCAGAGGATGTGAGGTGGGGGAGATAAAAACAGGCAAAGTTGACCTCTAGTTCCCTGGTTGTGACACACCTGGCTACCTGCATCAGAAGGGATGTATTGGAAAGATAATGTTAGAACTAGCAAGGTATCTTATAGTGCAATCCTAATTATGTGTTACTCAAGAGGTAAACTGTATTGAGTTTAATGTGGCTTACTTCCAAGTAAGTCTGTACATAGGACTTTAATCTTAATCTACTGAATCCTGTTTTGTTGTGAGTACAGTTCATTTCTATCACTCCTTTAAATTATTTTTTAAAAACAGGTCAGTGCATGCATAAGGAAATAATACATTTCTTTTCTTTCACAGTGTTGTTGTTGGCAGCAGTCTCCAGGGCAGAATTTCCTGGTCTGTTCTTCTGTCTACACTGGCCCTTAATACTGAGTGCAATTCTGGAATTTCCAATGTTGCATAAATGAGTTGATTGTGAAAGAATGTGTGTGTGCTGGAATTCACCACATAGCTGCAAAAACTCCACATAGACATTTACAGGTACTCTACTATGCAGTTCAGTCATGATCTCCAATTTCATTGTACCAAGCAAGCTGCAATCCTAAACATACTTACCTGGGAGTAAGTACCTTCAAACGCTCTTACTTCTAAATAGATAAGTATAGAATTGCATGGTTTATGCCGTGTAAATCACTTTGTAACCACTTGCTGGTCTCTTAATCCTGGCAGGTCTCAGCCATTAAGAAAAAGCAATATATTGCATATCCGGGGACTTTCCAAAAAGCTAACACAAAATCATGAACAAGTGTCACATTCCCATGCTCCATACTCAGCCTCGCTGCATTAAATGGGGCTCAGAAGATTGCAGCCATTTACTTACTCAAGAGTAAATCCCATTAAACTCAATCAGGCTAACCTCTGAGTTAATATGTGTAGGGTTGCACTTCACATCATGTCAACACTGCATGGTTAGCCAAAAATGGTTAATAGTGCATTAAATAACTGAAACAATATTAGACACATTTGAAAATGTGGAATAGTTTCCTTGCCATTTGCTAAACATCCTAGTACAGTTTAATTATCTCACCTCCTTGCTGTTCAACATTTTAAAAAATAAATTCTGCATGGTGCTAGACATTATTAAATAAAACAATGCACAATATTAAAGAGAGAGAAGGAAAGGGACAATATGTGCTAATTCTTGTAGCTGTTTTTCTTTTAAGGTACAAAAGCAGCCTAGTAACACCATCGCACAACTAAATCAACTAACATCAGAACATGGTCTTATTGAGTAGCCCACTGCATGTGGATGCCTTAATGCTGCCTTCCCAAATCAGGCAGTCTCCATTTATGTCAAGCTGATAGCTCCCATCAGCCAGAGCCAGCATTTCCATGCTGCCCGGGGCTGACAGGAGTTGTCATCCTGACATATCTGAAGCATGCTGGGTTGGAGAAGGCATCTTTAAGAAGCCATCAGCACCAGGCAGAAATAGAGCAGGTAAAGGTTTATGCAATAAGACAGTATAATGATGCAGAAAGCTTCACCTGTTGAACTTCTGTTTGCTATATAGTTCCTAGAAGCACTGAGGCCCTCCTTTTTCTGTCTTGTCTTTTTTAAAGCAGCTATTACTTAGATCAGTTTTCTTCAACTTTGTGCTCTCTAGATGTTTTGGGCTACAATTCTCATCAGCTTCAGCCACTGGTGATGTTGGCTTGGGCTGATGAGAGCTTAAATCCAAAATATCAGAAAGGCATCATGTTGAGGTAGGCTGACTTGAAGGAAAAACAGGATCTAGTCCAGCTAGTCCACCCCTGCCCAACATATTCACCTTGGCGCTTGCTGGCTCAGGGCTACCAGAGTCCCCATCCATATTAGCCAGAGAGGCACCCACTTTCCAGAAGACATCTCTGGGCCACGTCCGTGCAGCCCGGACTTGCTTCGCCTTCTGCCTGGGGCTGCAAGGGGATTTTGCAATTCAGTACCAGGGCTGTAGGGAGGGACTGTTTGGTTTTCCTGCTAACAATTACCGACCCAAGGCTCTGCCCCCGAGGGGGGCGGATTGCTTGGAAGCCTGCCAGTGGGAAGAAAATAAAGCAAAACCTAGGAAGAGTCAGCCTCATAGATTATGAGAAGCAGAACAAAAAGAAGCTGGGAGGGGGCGTTGATTCCTCGCCATGCCTGAACAAGTCTTATTTCAAAGCCCCTCCTAGACTAATCTTCCTCCATTTTCTTTCACTCTGGGAACTGATGTGCACGGTAGGCAGATCTTTGGATTTGTGGTGGGCTTTAGCACTGATCAACTGCGCTAAATCCTTTGCGGGTGGGAGACAAAAGCCCACAACATTCAGTCCTAAAGATGGAGACTCTGATGCTGCAGGAAAAACTAGGGCACCTGAGCAGGCAGCTAGAAAAACCATGGCAAAATAACACGAGTTTCATTGGAACGGGACATCTTTTTGATGGTTTGTAGGCAAAGTATAGAATCCTAGAACAGTAGAGTTGGAAGTGACCAAGAAGGCACTCAGGTCCGCCCTCTCTCACCCCCTCCATTGCAGGACACCAGTTTACACCATCCCACTCAGAATAGGACACTGTGAAACCTAGACACCTGAAACTTGGCCTGCATGCTAAGGGAACCCTAGGGCACACCTTCTTTTGTTTTTTCATGAATCAAGTGATGCTAATTAATTCTAAATCGACCATATCGTTGAAGCCTGCAATAACATATTCAGTCACACGGGGCAGACTTCCCTAGCCGGTGCAAAGCTTTGCAGTTTATGCGGTTTAAATTCGGGGAAGATGAGCAGGGGTGCAACACAGTTATGCGTCTGTCACCTTTCCCCTGCTGTGAGACAGCTTCCTTAAGGGAAACATCTTGCTGTTTCAAAGGGAGCAGGGGCTTAATGCTTAGGGTGCCAGCAAGTGTGGCTTCATTCAGAGAGGGCAGGCACCTGTGTCTGACTCTGACAGCTGCTTAAGTTTATTTGAAGGTTTCACCAGGCAGGTTCACACATCATCCCAACCGCCACCCCAGCAATATACATATGGTTGTATATATCCCATTTTTAAAAAAAACATTGCCTAGTCAGAGTCCCCTTTAAAGGGACTCGGAGTTTTAACAACTAGCTGTCAAGAGTAATTTTCCCTACAAAAAGGAGGGTGCATATTTGCACTTGCACAAGCACTCACAGGTTTGGAACAAAATGCAGATGGTGCTTAAGATGGCTACTAACTGGGATGGGGAGAAAAAAAGGATCTTTATGCAAAGAAGTGCAAATCCCCCTCCCCCCCCCAATCCTTTTCACCTGCAGTGATTCATTCTGCATTTGGTTTCTCTTGATAGCTCATATTTTGACAGCTGTGAGAGAAAGGAGGTGGGAGTGGAGAGTTGGAGCCCCTTCTGGGCAATGTTTAGGGTTGCTACATACTGCACCTTGGCAGCAGGCACTTCCAGACATTTCTCCAGCTGAGGCTTCAATTCCCTGTAGACATGCAACTGAGAAGATGGAAATGTGAGCAAACTCTTTAGGGGAAAAAAGAAAAAGTTTCTGCCAGCCACTTGGACACTTGGAAGGGGCTGTCAGTGGCTGTCAAAAGAGAGGTCACAAAAGTCAGCTGTCATCCATGAGTAAAATAACCCCTAGAATGCAGCATGGCTTCTTAGGGAGACTCTGGAAAAGAAGCAAGCCACCACAGCGAATACCGGCTGGGTTCAAACAACATAGCAATCAATGTTGCCCATGGAGTGTCTCACGTTTTGCAAACCAGGTCACTCTTACTCAAAGTAAGAGCTACCCCAACCCATATGATGGGAGATTGGTTATTTAGTTACTAGTAAAAGAAGGCCTAAAGTGACTCCATGAGGTAGGAAAATGCGATCTTAAACAATATGGCTCACCTCAGCTGCATTCCACAAGGATTCAAGCCTGCAGCCAAAGCACTAGAGAGCACAGCACCACACCAAAAATCTGCTGTCGGCTCAGCATATGACTCGGGCAAAGCACAGTCTTGGCCCTTCTTACTGGGAGTAAAGTTGGGGTGGCTTGATACAAAAAAGGACAGGGCTCATGGAAGTTTCATAGCTGTGTCAGCTGCAGTTATCAGCATTTTGTATCTTACTTCCCACTCTATGAAAGTAACCAAGTTCCACCATGTTATAAACAGAAAACACATGTTTCACGAGAAGGGAATTTCTAGGTTTATGGGGATTTTTATTATAATAATCATCATAAGGACAAAGGACAAAACTGGTTGCAGAAATATTGCTGAGAGTGAATTTTACTGTTACAGCCTTGAAATGCAAACAAAAGCAGTAATTCCATTAGAGTTGAAAAATGTAACATTACAATAAGACTGTTGCTTTAAGTCAGTTTTCTTAACCTTTCCTATCTGTACAGGCAATTTACCTTGGATACCCTCTGGGAGGAAAGGCCCGCACAGAGCCAGGCATTTTGGCCTGGCGGGCTCTATGAAAAGCTAAGGCAGCTGCTTGTGGCTCTCCCGAGGGTTGATGCTGAATTCCCACCTTCTCAGTGCAGCAAATGTCATGGTGGAGAGCAGCTGGCAGGACTTCCTGGAACACGCACGGGAGGTGGCGGCAGCGGTGTGGTGTGGTGTGGTGGAGGGAGCCGTGCAGCCCACGGTCTTCCCTCTCCACTGAAGTGGGGGCTTCATCCTGCTTCGTGGAGGGTCCTGCATATGTTGTAAATAGATCCACCACCCCCTCCAAAATATTACAAACATTCATTCATAAATGCACATTCAATTACAATTGATCAAAGACCATTGGCAGAGCCAAGTTTATTTATTACATTTTTGCACTGGTCAACAGCCAAAGTTCTCTGGGCAGGTAACAACAAGTGCACAGCGACCTTATGCCTTCCAGGCATGTTTGGACTGCAATGCCCAGAATTCCTAGTCGATAGCCCTGCTGGATAGGAATTCTGGGAGTTGTGGTACAAATGCCTCTGAAGGCCACCAGGTTGGGGAAGGCTGATGTGCAGATATCAGGAGGTCATGTGACGTGAAGATTACCCTTGAGCTGGCGGGAGGTGGTATGTCAACAACAGATGAACCCGGGCAGGTATTGGCATGGTAGTAGAAAGTCTGGACACTGCTGTGGCTTACACAACATACCAGTCCGCAGGTTCAACAACCCATGGGTCCAGCAGGAAAAATGGGATGCACTACTTGTGACACCACATTTTCTTAGCAGCCTCCAGTCAGCTCCATTGTCGTTTGTTTAGTGTTTCATCCAAACATGGAGTAATGGGTGGTTAAAGGCTAGATGGCTTAGCAGTTAACCCAACAACAAGCCATGGGTTAATCACCAGCCCCAGAACAACACAACACTCAAGGTTTGGACACTATTCTAAGCAAGTTATGCTGCAGCTGATTGTGGATTCCTAAGGATACATGAAAGTGGCAGGCCCACTGCAGAGTGTCCACTGACTCCGGCTTATGCATAGCAGCCTGTGTGTTTAGCTCAAGGGAAGTCGTGTCATGCGAACCAGTTCAGAGCATCTCAGTCTGCTATAAGCATGCGAATAGGTGGACCATCAATGCCTGGCAAGGTGAGCAGAGGATGATAAAGTCATATTTCCTGGTGGACCGTGGGGACTACGCAAGACTGACTTCTGAGTCATGTCATGAAGTCCCACCTAGTGCTTCCACGTGCCACTGGATGAGAACCACTGGCATGCAGGACAGGATCTCAGCCACTGGAGCTGCATGCTGAAATGCCCTCCTCTGCACAGCTTCTAAAGGTGCAGGACCCCTGCTCCCTTTTGGTGGTGACAGGCCACCCTGTTAGAGATGGAGGACTGTGGAGGGGAGAGACTAGTGCTGCCCTCCTTTTCTTTCTGGGAGGTGCCCCTGTGCTTTTACGAGCTGCTTGACAAGGAGAATGTATGGAGCAGTTCCTTCTTGAGTGGCTGATGCTGCAAGTATCATCTGCTTGACTTCTTTACCCAGGGGCTGTTTGAAGATCAAGGAATCCTGCTGGGAAAAGTCTCCCTCCCTTCCACTCTGCCAAGCATCTCCCAAAAAGCCCATCCCCCGTGTCCATACTTGACAACTCAACTGGATATTGACCTCTGGAATTACTGGCTCCTTGCCTCTGCTGGGCCTCCAGCTGCTGGGAACAAGCCCCACGTGATTAAGGGGAAATCCACTTGGTTGAATAAACAGAAAGTGACTCCTGGATGGGATGTTTTATTCATGAGAGAATGGATTGGGACCCTGGAAGAGCTGGAAACACAAGCTGGTGCCTGGGTGGGGAGCATCAGGATTCCAGGAGGGGGGGCGCTGAATAGCTAGGCAGGTGAGAGTCTAGGCTGGATGAATCCGCCTTCCTCCATGGTTAATTAGCAGCTCATTAAGCGTGCAGTTGGAGATGATATTAATTAGCCCTGATTGGGAGTGAGGAATGGAACCCCTAATAAATCCCCCCTCCTTCCTGTCTCTCTCTGGTTTTAATTAAGCAAAACAGCCGAGTAATTAGGGACTAATTAGCGGAAGAAAAATGAGCCAGCATGTCTTAGAATCTCATTACTAATCTGTTGTTGTTGGTCACACTCTGTCATTCAATCTGTTTCTTCTCCCTCATCTTGTCTAGGCCTTTTTACTCGCTTTGTATCCTGCAATGAGTCACAAAACAAATATTTAAGATGGGCTACACTGTGGAAATATGAGAAATGGCAGAGATGTTTCTGAACATGTATGGAGTGCATTTCTTTCAGTGCTGAGTAACCACACCCCTCTAATCTCCCTGTGGTGTGACAACCAGGTTGTTTTAGATGCTGGGCTTAATGGCCTTATACAATTCCTTGTGCATGCTGTGTGAACCCACTGAATGACTGACTGTGGCTCCCTGAATTTCCTGCAGGATTCTCTCCCAGCCTTACCTGGAGATGCTGCCATTGAGCTTAGGGTTTTCAGCATGTA